TACAAGATGAGGAGGCATTGTCTACCTGACAAGGAGGAAGGACAATTGCTTATATTTACCTGTTGATGTTTACCTATTAGCTAGTATCATTTCTCATAACCACTTGTCTTTGAAGTAACTGCCCTACTAAGTGCTCAACTTGGCCTCCATATCTGGATATACAGTAAACTCATTTATTACAAATACTGATATAGCGAATTTACGAATAGAGTGAATTTTTTTGCAATCCCCACCAAAATTCTTAATGATTCCTAGTAAAATTTTAATTAAATAACAAAATCAGATATAGAAAATTTGCGGTTATAGTGAACTGATTTTGTGTCCCCTAGAAGTTAAAAATAATGAAATCTACATTTTTTTAAAGAGAATTTTCAAGAATGTAAAGAACCACGCATGGTGACTCTCGATTCCCTCCTACATTTTACACCCATTTAATTCAATACAAATGGAAGTTTGGCCGTTAAAACTAATGATTGAATTCAAAGAAGAGTTCATTATTAATTGATTAATAATCTAAAAACCAGTGTCAAAAACTTAATTGCTTCTATTTACAACTCTTTTTCAAAAGGGAGATTGAACATTTTATCCATTGAAATCAGGCTTTAAAAATTCCTAGATTTTCAAAAACTCATGGAAATGGAAAAATGACCCTTAAGATGTTTTAAAAATATTTTCTGTTTTCCATTGATTTCTATAGTGAAAAACGCAATATTAACCAAAATTAAAGAGTTATCTCTCTTAGTTTTCCTAAATAAGTTATGTTTTATGAAAATTCATATAAATACATGTGTATCTAAATAAATATGAAAAATCATTCAAATGTGTTAACTTTGGAAATTTGGAGGTAGGCACGGCAGAACAATACTATTGTTCGCAGTTTTTTTTAAACATTGAACTGACATTAACTTCAGAAGTATCTATATTTAAAACTCAATTCATCCGAAAACTTTTGAACTCCAAAATAAATTTGGTATTTAATACTTCCCTAAATGCATTTGGTAGTTATACTTGAACGAAAAAAATCTATATTGCAAATTAGCTATTTATACATTAAAAGAATTTGTTATACGGATATAATGAATTATGGATATAGTCCAATAAGTAAATTCTCAGGTTCCCATATTAACTACACTGGAACCAAGTTTTACTGTATGACCAGTAATATCATTAAAAGGATTTAATAAATTAAAGATTTTTATTGAAAACTTTCATTATTAATATTTCTGCCATTTTAGGGAGTTAGCGGCAGATATATTTTGCACAAATGTCCATTATTAGTGAAAATGTCTTTTTTCCTTTCTTTTTGGCAAAAGTCCAATGTCATATGTTTACATGATTGCAAAAGTGAAAACTTCATTTCATATGAATAGTAAACATCTATAGAATCTACAATGAATTTATAGACCTATAGTATACTAATAACAGTGGCTGTTTTTTTTTTCCAGTTAGGCTCATTATGAGGGAGATATTTCTCTTCAGAGTAAATAAGATTTCCCTGCAGATTGTAATGTTGTATCAAATTTTGACACTTTGTCAATGCGTATTATGTATGGGAGATCAAAAGGGTCAATTTCTTATGATTGATGTTATTGTGAATGATTTATGAAAGTCTTAATAAAAGACTGCAAGCTTCTCACCAGACCAGACCAGGAGCTTTCATGAGGAAGATTCAAGCACCTGCTGCATGCAATGTTTGCATCTCACTGCTGCATTTTTTTTATTAAGAGAAATTTAAAGCATACATAATCTATTTGAAAGCACTCTGTGGTTTTACTTGTATCTAAAGGGGAGGAAGATGGGGGATGTGTGTGTGTGTGGGGGGGGGGGGGTTGTCCTCAATAGATTATTATTAACTTTTAATGCACCAATCTTATTGATAAGGGGCGAAAAAAATTAAATGTTGATTAAATTGAATTGAAATAAAACTTATCCAGAATAATTAAATGCTATTCTTCGTTGGTTGTCATCAAATATTTATATTATGGTAGATCACTAAATTTTTCTGACACCTTATTTCCGCGAGTTGGACATTTACTCTTTATTAGGGAGACAAAATTTTCACAACATTGTGGTTATTGCTCTATATAATCTTTAGGAATACTTATATATGCAAGAATGACATTTGCACGAGTACTTTAGCTTGCGTAATTACGCAAAAATAAAGTTCTCACGAATAAAAGTGAATTACAGTATTTTAATGATGGGAAGACAAATTATAAATGTGAAAGTGTGTATAATAGTTCATACTAGCTATTTGACATCACACAAGTATTTTGTTATATTATACTTTCATGTAAATTACTGTAAATGTCGTTATTTTGACGAGTTGAAAAGTTGACGTTTTTTGTTTACGAAAATTGACGAGTGTTAATTTTTATGAAATATTGAATCAAGAGTTATGTATCTTTGATTTCGCCAGAGGACCAAAAACCTGGTGGAAACATTGGCTTAGTTGTCTTGATATAGACTTGAGATTGTCTACGATTAAGCCGCTTCATGCGAAATATGTCCTGAAAGTTCACGCTGTTATTATAAGCAAAGGCAGCGGCTTCCTCGTGAACTCATTTTACAAGCATTGGCATCAATAAAATTTAATTTTGCTTGTAAAAAACATCTATAGTGTATAAGATTTGATTGAATAAATTTTGTTTTCATTATACGAGATCAATTGCCTGGGGTGATAAAGTAGGTCAAGCATGGCGTGATAATTACGCAAAGTTAGAATGTTGTGATCATGGGTGTTAATAGTACACGGCACACTTGTTTAGATTCAATGGCTTTTAAAACTGTGATTATATGTTTTCATAATTATTTACAAAAAAATTGAAATTACCTTTGATCTATTTCTAATGGGGGAAAGCCGAGAAAATTAAGCGGTAAAGTTTATAATAGTCAATGTCTGTGGTGATGCTATATAAATATATATGATGTGAAGTTTGATGAGTGGAAATTTTGACGAAGAAAAATCGTCAATATAGTCAAAATTAGCACGTCGTCAAAATTTCCGCGTTTACAGTACCTAAATCTGATTTGTTGAGAAATATTTGTTAAAAAACACTATTGACCGCTGAATGATGAAGCCACATCCTCCAGCGTAGCAACAGTCAACATTGCTTGACATCGGGTGTTATACCAAAAAATAGCGAATGCGCAGAATTTATGCGCCCAAGGTTCACTGTGATAAGTATTTGTATAAAACATTCAGTATAATATCATAAGTATTGCATGTAGTTGAATGTAACATTGAAAATTTTCACCCCTCGAAAACCATTGTTAATCTCGGCTGCACCTCGGTTGACAATGGTTTCCTTGGGGTGAAAATTTTCAATGTTACACTCAACTACATGCAATATTTATATAATATTATTTCCACCCAGACAGCCTAGCTCATGAGAAGTTAAATTAAGTTTTAAAGCTAATGTCTATCAAATATCATCGAGTTTGAAAACAAAGATCAATTTTTATGCTGCACTTATAAATATTAAAAATCATTATAAAATCATATCTTTGCTTCTTGAGGTTTTGGAAATTATACATATATCATTGAATAAATCAAAATCTCAACTTTCTCCAGCATATTTAGCCTCTAAATGTACAGCCATGATTTGCTGTGTAATTATTTTGCATATTATCTCATATTACCATGAGAAGACAGGCATACTTAGTCTTTAATGAAGCGATTTATTAACTCGTTATGTTCATTCCTGGAAGTCGTGATTAAAAATTGAATTGGAATCTAGTGACAAAAATTAGTGATGCTAAATGTTTAACATATTGATCGTCACTTGATGCATTTATTTAAAATCCACCTCCCCGTCTGTCTGATGAATTAAGTCATTGAATTTTTATTTGAGAAATGTGATTTTTATAAAGGATTTCAGTTTTTGGAATGACATTATCAATTTGGGGTGTTGGAATGCCAGTCTAAAGAGAATTATTCAATTACTATCTGTCAAAGAGCATGTGAAAAAAAACCTGGTGATGGGCTGTTAGGGATGAGCAGTGTTAGTGATGATAGCCCAAGGTAAATGGTAGGAAGTCAAAGGACAACAGCAGGAGAATCAGTGACAGGACTTTAAAATCACTTCTCCCTACAAATATATAGGAAATGTCATATTCCTAGAGGACTACTGGACAAAGGAAGTTTCTGAACCAGGGAATGTGAATGACTGTCATTTCTATACATGTAATATTGTCTCTCTTTCTCATCAATAGAACCGATCATCTTGGTTTGGAGTATATTGTATTCCTTTTTTGAATAAAAGCATAGAATTTTGTCAGGGCTGCAATTAAAATGAATTCACTTCAGGGAATACTGAGGCTGAGAAAGAAACTGATGGTGAAATTCATTTTTTTGTGAATCATGGCAGTAGACCATGATTGGAGGTTCTTGAAGTGAAGGGTTGGACTACATAATAAGTATATGAGCTGGAATCAAAATGGTCCTCAGAGAAATGCTGTGATAGAGTGCAGCTTTCATTTGGTTCCACCAATCAGCTTTCAAAGTAATGTCCTCTCCATTACTTTCTTATTTTGGGACTGTTAGGATTTTTGTTCTTATTGACTTGTTGTTATTGATGTTTTGCTCAGTAATACATGCCCTTGATTTTATCTTAAGTATATTAAGAAAACTTTTGATTGGCATATCCATGATTTAAGACATGTTTCAGAAGTTGAGAGATTTAATCTTGTGCCTGCTTAAGGAAATTTTGCCACTGATGGATGGGCCTTCATATTGAACGATCAAAATTCATGAAGAAGCAGATACACACTTTCCACTGATGATCTATCTTTATATGGCTTGGATTACTTAAAAAGGTTCCTTCCTTTCAGGGGAAATTGCATGTGAAACAAAATTCTTTGAGCAATTATGGCTGAAACAGAAGTATTGGAATGAAAATTCATTCAACAGGTTTCAGATTCAGATAGAGTTTTTTTTCTATCAAAACTATTCTGAAATGCAGGATGCTAGAGGAAATTTTACCAGAAATTGAATTAAAATGTTAAAAGAGAATAAATTGTTCTGTAAAAGTGCCATGATGTTTCACACATCTGAACATGGGCAGTCCAATGCAAACATGACTCATCGACGCAGAAATCGAACAAGAAAATTTAATTTCAATATGTCTTGGTATGGGACTTTGTATAAACGAATAAAAGGATCTCAAAAAACATGGAGTCTTTATCATAATCCACTGCATGGTAAGTATTTTGTGGTTATATAGTGTTTAATCATTTCGCAAGTGCAATATTTGTGATTTAAAAATTAAATTAGGATAATCACCACAAGGATAGAAAGTTTAGAAACTTGATGATGGTCAAAATTTTGTACAAAATGCTCAATAAATGCATTTAAAGAAAGGGAACCTGAACATTCACAATGTATGACATTTTATTTCCTGGAATTGAAATGCAGAGTTACCCTTTGTAGTTCTGTTTCTGTCATGATTCCATATTTGTCTGAATAAGTAGCAGCAAGGTCATGTGATCACCCCATTATTTTTAATTATGAATTGATAATATCAGTAAAGTTTAATTGAATCCCTAGAAAAATAAATTGTAGGAGAAAACAAATAGATAAGGTTAACAAGGGTGAAAAATGGAGACAGTGGAAAGTAACGAGAGACAGCATGAATCACCCGATTTATTACTCTCGCGAGACATATTTGTAATTATTTCTGACTGGTAAGAAAACATGATAGAAACACACTGTCTCCTATCAAATTATTTAACCATGTACTGCTTCGTGATACTTGAACTTTTGATCACCGTAAAGCAGTTTAGTGTGAAAAATTATAAATTAAAAAATTAAATGTTAACATTTAATCACAATTTATTGAAGTACATAACAGCTTATATCAGATTGATAAAGGGAGTAGATTTACAACTGTAGGATATTGGTCTGTAGTTTTGCAGAAAACAAACTTGGCAGAGAAACTTTGTTGCCATGAAGTCCAAAGTTGAGAAGCTTGATTTCTACCAGCTCGATCTAAACGCTTGCTTTCCAAGAGTGTTTTTGCAATTGTGATATCTTATTTTTTGATGTATTTTTTTTTAATTTATTTTTTTTATTTGAAAGATAGATTTATTCTTTTATAAAAAGAAGAGAATATATGACATTAAAATGATTTGATACAATGTGCAATGGGTAAATCTTACAAAGCTTCACTAAATCAAAGTAATTAAACTGCAGAATATTGCTATTCCACATATATCACAGTGTTGGCTGTAAAGTAACATTTAAGAAGGAAATCAAATTACATCTTTAATGTGGTATTTTAATTATTTTAAAATTTCTTTAGACAAATAGACAGCATTAAATAAAACCTATTGATTTTATAGTTTGTTTTCCTTATAATTGATAAACCATAGTTACGGTAGTACTACTAAGAGAAAGAGACAGATGAATGACTCTACTCCATCCCAAATATTGTGCAAGATCGATCCTTAATTTATAATGTGAACGATCTTAATATTTCCTTTGTTACTGTAATGTGGTGATAAACCTCTTAAAGCTATTAGAGGTGATTTTTATTGATTTTTTTTTTATGCAGTTATTATTAAAGAACTCAATATTTATTCACCTGTAATATCAGCTATGGTTAATTATTATGGATTTGGGGTCTCTTTGAGTGCAGAATTCAGACATACTTCCTTCTGTTTCAGTATTTTTCAGCTCCTTTTTGTCCAGTCTGCAATTAGTCCCAGTCTGTATTTATAACTGTCTGGCTTAAGCCCCTTTATCAGTGGAGGCTGATCTCCTGTACTTCAGGGTAATTAGACAAACCTGATGGATTCAGACAATATCTGAGGGAATGATCAGACTTTAGGGAATTCTCCAGAGGAAAATCCCAGTTTTAAAATTAAAGTTCATTGTAGATCAGAGATTATTGAATTCTGTAATCCTTGACTTTTTGTCTGGTCTTGATTTCAGATAAATGTAAATAAGGATTCCCTTGGAATTTTTCATGAAAGATTCACACTTATCTAACTGATAACTGATAATATTAAAGAAGAAATGGGTGTAGTAATCTCTGCTTTACAAAAAAATTAATGTGGGAAAATGGAAATGTTGTTTCATAAATGTGGGACATTAAATTGATAGTGGAAAGTATATCAAAACATGATGAAATGTGTCAAAAGAAGAATGAGCATTAAACAGTTTTCTTTGCTTGTCAGAATTTAATATAGGCCTTATATGTAAATTGAGAGTCCACAAGCATATGGTCATTTGACTGCCAGCACTTTCATTTAGGTCATGTGTATTGGAAAGCTGTGTTTAACAAATTAATAAATAAATGTATTTTATAAACATATTATAAAAATAAATATACAATTAGATATGGTAATATTTGCCAAACAGTCTTAGGCTGGTGTACAACCTGGAGAAAAGATACTTAAGCATTGAATTCTTATTTTTGGATGTCGTCGGTCCTATAACACACCTGGCCATTCCGACAAATTGAATAGCGCGCGTTAGCGCTGTATGATAATTTGTCGGCACGGCCAGGTGTGTTATAGGACAGACGGCATGCAAATATAAGAATTCAATGCTTATATTTACATTCTCTAATTTTCTCTCTTCAAAATTGTTTATTTCGTTTATTTTCATTATGAATTAATATTAATAGACGCAAGAGCTGTTGTGACATTGGAAAGTTAAATAACGCAAATGAACACTGTGATGGGAAAATATGACAAATAATTTTTAATGCACAGTTGTTGTATTTTTACGATAATTTAACAGGATAATTGTTTTTACCTGGTAATTAAACAGAGTCAAAACAATATACATTTGGGTGTTCGTAGAGTATTGAAAATGCATATAGTTCTTACTGGGTATTCTACCGCGCAGTGACAAGGTTTCATGTGTGTTATAGATATTTGAACGTCGTAGATTTCCAATGGATTTCATAAGAAAAAATGCACTGAATGTAAATATAAAAGAATCAAACAGTAAATACTGTAGACAATAAATACTGTTACAGTAAAGCACAGTTACAGCCACTTACCAATAAAATGAATTTATGTAATGGATATATGCCGAATACTGTTCTATATGTAAAATTATCAGACTGTTTGAGGCCCGTTAGGGCCGAAAATAGTCTGATAATTTTACATATAGAATCGTATGAGGCATATATCTTACTTAAAACATTGCTATTTAAATGTCCAAAAGTTACCTGGAGGAGTCCGATAATTACACAATAGGAGTTCAGGCATCAATAGTTTTCTACCTGAAACCATCTAATAAGTAGACAAAAGAAAAGAGAAAGTTTTTTTTCTTTAGACAGTAAAATCAGTGAGTGAACTCTTTTGTCTCATTCATTCATTCAATGGCAGTCGTTTGGCTTAGCAGGAACTATGGACAGTGGTCAGGTGGTGAAGGATTTTTTTATGATTTGGAATATTTTTTTATTTAGTGCATTTGACATTGATACAGATACAGTGTTGGATGATATCTTCAAAATGCATTTAAAGTAAAAATGCTGATTTTTATCTAAATTTTTAATGGGATGATATAATGAAAATCTTCTGTTTTAAAAGTGTGGTCATTGTCGAACAAACCTTGTTAAATGATGAGATTCGCAGACTGGTTATTTATCAGAAATGGATTTAAATTGGCTTATTCACAGAGCTGTATCGAAAACGCTTTGCAAAAAACCGAATGGAAAGTAATACTTAGGAGGAAGATTGAAACTCCAGTTTCTTCTTGGATTTGCTTTTTTTAACAACTTAATTTCCTCGCGTTCGCTTTCTGTGATTTTTTTCTCCCTAACTTTTTTTTGGTTTCTGGACAAATTAAACCTTAATTTCACTCTAGTTGTTGTTTTTTAACTACTGTCCGATTTTGTTATCACTGCTGTCCGATAATATATTATTGGACTGTTAATTATTATTATCGGACGGCTACAGGTAAATTTTTAGACTGCAAGAACAAAGGCATGACATCACAGCAATGTTTTAAAGTAATATATTTTGTAAAGTTATGAAGTTGTGCATCTGTGTAATACAAATGTAGAGTAATAGTGGTTATAGATGTACTTCAAGCTTGGACATAATTATATTTAAGAAAAATATGGTGCACATACTTATTTTTTTTTGGCTTGCCCAAGTTTGTAATGCACCAGTTGATAATTCAGTCATGGATTTGCATTTGAAATTTATCCTGAACAAATATTTTGGCAGAGGATATGAGTTATTGTGCAAATAACTTCACCTAAATATGAATCACTCTAGAAGAAATACAGGTAAAATAGCTATTATAAAACTAAATGTAATCTTGCCTTTTTTAATTATCAAAATAAATTGAAAATATTTTTATATACATGTATTTTTAACTTAAGCATGTGATAGAAAAATATGACCAACAAGACTATATGTGTAAATATACAGCATTTCACCACAGAATTTTTCATATCAAAAATAATTTTCCAATATTTAATGTTCTAAAAATAGTGTGTCATATATGCTAAATAGTGTAAACAAGCCAAATTTAACAACCATGCATATTGATATTATTGCAAATCATTTGCATAAAACCTCATTTGTAAGAATTCAAACAGTATTTCTTGCTATTCTACAAAAATTTCTTTTTAAATTTTTCTATACTTTATACTTTACTTAAAAATAATCCTGCTAAAGCATGCAGGTGCAACTTAATAGCTGCAGAACTGTAGCTCTCTGAAAAGAAAAAATATTGTCAGGCCAGAGAGAAAAAAAACTGTATATTTATTGTGCACAAAAAGTTGCCCTCGGTTCTGGATTTGTTTCTCCAAATTCTTACCTCGACAACACAAAAGCTTGTTCTCTCTCAAGTACTCTTGTTGTTGACATCTGCATGAATCGCATTTGACTGAATTGTCTTGCCATCCAAAAAGGCAGTATAAATAGGCGAAATTTTGGATGATCTCAATATCAGGCCCAGGAGGGTATTAACAATGGTTTTTTGAAATGTTTTGATTTGACTGTTTTGGTTAATTTAGCAATATTTTGAGATGGCAGTTTAAATATACAGAGAAATAAATTGAGATACAGCACACTTTTGTGCGCCATTAATATACGCATTTTTCAATGGGTGGCACTATAGCTTTCTGGTCGTCCATCCCAATTTTTTTTGGACCAGTGAGTTCTGTAGCTAAGTGCAGCTTTGCAGGTATGACAAGAAAAAGAAGGCCAAGTATTGCACTTTGTAGAGATTTCATTTGATACCGGAAAAATGTGTCCTTTGCATGCATGATAATACCAATGAAACAAAAAACAAACTTTTAAAATAAATTTTAATAATTTTGTTGAATACACTTGCAGTTTAATTTTTTTTTTTTATTGAAAATATATCCTTTAAATGTTGACTGCATTACTGTGAGGCTATACAAATATCAAGTCTGGTTTCAGATAGGAATAGTTGACAAATGTTCAACAGTTATTGTTGATAGTGATCAGTGTAAAGAGGCCTGGTTGTGGAAATAGCTCCTTGGTGATTTATTAAATTACACTGATTAAGATGTAATTAAGTCCCTGGATATTCTGTGATAATTACAAAGGCTGAAATTAAAGCTATTGCACTTTGTTTTATCTGATAATATTAGCATTGTACCTGTTAACTTTATTGACTATGTACAAAGCCCCATATTTGGACAAAACAGTTTATTAAAACTCTTACGCCAGTTTTGAAACTGATGCCAATATTGTTGATTGTTAAAAAGGTTTAAAAAAATCCTCCATGAAAAATATGTAACTTGGATTTCATTCAGATACGAGTTGGTTAAGTACAACAGTAATACCCCTCCCCCCCCAAAAAAAAAAAAAGAAAGAAAGAAAGAAAACAAAGCAAAAAACAAAAATTGAAGTACAGTTCTGTGATTTTTAACTTGATACACTGGTCTGAAAAGTGTACACTTTTGTTAAGCTTCAGGTATTTTGTAATTCATTATGGGACATGAAAGAGTGGTATTGCTGTACTGGTTTTATTATTTCAAAGCTTCCAACCATCAAATCCCAAAGAACAAAAAGATTTCCAGCTTGTTGAGCCGAACAAAATTACACTTGGTCATAGTAGAAATTGTCATGGCAAAATCTTGTAGATTCATCTCATCATCAAAATGGATTCAGTGCTTGTTGAAGAGGAATAGAGGAATAATGTCATTTTCCTGTGAATTTCTGAAGCTTGCTCCAATTTACTGTGTTGGTGCTTCACTTCTCTGCTACTTTTCTGATTTTTATCAACTGATAGCTGCTCTTGGGTCATATTTTAATGGTTTTAACTGGACGTCCCATTAAGATGGGCACTGATGACATTTTCTGCTTCATCTCCCTCCTCCAGTTTGAGACAGTCAGATTATTATATAAAAAGATGTGAAGCTTTTGGCATGATGAGTTTATTAATAAATACATGTCTGAATTGCAACTGAATACAATGCATGACAAGATATATGCTGTCTTTGACTTGATGATATTTTGCATCAAATGTCAAAGAATTGCTGGGATGTGGCTGTTGATCAAGGACCTAATGTTAGAGCTTTTATGACTGGAGAGACAGAGTTAATGGCCCCAGTGTACTGTTACAGTGACCCACTCATATAAGGTGGGTAGTGAAGTACATCAAAATTACAGTCATGATTTAAAGAAAAGTACCTTAGAATACAGCAAAATTAATTGTTCCAGCCACAAATAAAGAATTTATCTTTAGGAAATTTCAGGAATATTTTTTTTTAAGTATCCCATCCCTTTGCAGTTCATATTTCCAAAGCAACATTTCAGATCATTTGAGTCACTGATACAGGGTGTATTGAACATTTTTTATTTCTTCTCTAAAACTCCTAAACCAATTTCAGCCAATATTGGCAAAAAAAAAAACAAACATTTGATGGATTATGGAAATTGATTTTCATAATTCCACATTCCCTACCTTATGTGTTGATCACTGTCCATCAGCAAAAGTCGTGCTATCTTCAAAAATCATCTTTTCTACTGAACAGTGAGCAGGCATCCTGTCTGAATGGTTATACGGTACCAAGGTACTTCACAACAAACCCTCTACCAAAATTGTGAAGTGCATGACCTCAGGTTTCAGGATTTTGACCAAAGATGTGCATGAGTTGGTCATAATATTCAATGTATACAACATTTAAAATTCTTCAAGGCATCTACCAGGGTCATAGTTTGGGGATCCAGGGCCAGTTTTGGGGTTCTGGCCAATAGATTGAAAGTGTATTCTATCTTTGAATTTCATTTCTTAGTTTATGGCTTGAAATCTAACAGGCAAATTATTTGCATCACAATGATTAAAAAATGAGCTGTCTGCCATATTTTGTGAAATTAATGTCCTTTGGGTCCAGCGTGTATGCCACTAGCATTCCATGACTTAGGGCATAAATATCATAATTTGAGAGTGCACTATGCATGAAATATGTCTTTGAAATTCTTGAAATTCTTCAATTGTTCACTTGTTTGTATTGAGTAATGTGCCTTTTACAGTTTTTGAAATTCCTGACCAAAAGCATCAATTTCAAGCCATCAGGGCCAGACAATATTTGTTATGCTCAGAAAATGCAACGTGTAATAAGAAATTCTTCTTTCTCTTCTGACATCTAGCAGGCGAACTCTTTTTACCCCTTCAGGATAAATGATACAAACAAACTTTTTTTTCAGAATTCAGCAATTTATCTATTAGATTTATGATTATATAGATAACTTGAATAATATTTGCCAAAGTTATTGTGGAAATTTTGTAAGATTTTGTAATAGTGTCATAAAATGTGTTTGAACACCAAAAAAATGAGATACGTTACTTTGATTAGCACACTAAAACATTGAGGTTAATTTTTAACATGGTACCTCATGTTTACAAGCTTTGACTGGAAAAATTGGAATCATGCAGAACCTTGCTTCATGGTCCCAGAACCTTTTATTTGATAAAGAATCCGAATAGGGAAATCATTACCATTAAACAGGAAGGGAACATTTTCGATCCCATATACAATGTTGTGGTGTTAGTTTATGGACCATTGTGAAAAATATTGCAGAAAATGTAAATTTACATTTGACTTAATTATTTGATTTGATATTCAAATCGATGCTGAAGAGTGGAAAAAATCGAAACGGATGCAGAGCCTTACTTGAAGTAAACATTAGAAACTTCTGAGAAAATGAATATGATTTCTCGTAATTACTTCAGTCCATGAGAAGCTGTCATTTTTCCCAATTCATTTGTGTTACAGAATTTAGACTTCCTGCAGAATTTATATTTATTGTCAGAGCCATTTAACTATTGGCATTGATCCATATAAATATCAATCATTTTACAAGAATTTGATTTCAAGGATTCTAATTTTGGTGTTTTATGAGAATGCTTGGATAATTAACACCACAAGGAGTTGGGCTTTTGGGTCGTTAGTTTGTCTGACCTGTTAGCAGGGTTAGTCAGAAAGAATCATTACTAGAAAAAAGAAATCAAAGTGAGACATTTGACTAGCATTACATATAATTAACTTAGAGAACATGTTTTACATGAATAGCTTTTAGAATAGGGTGGAATAGAAATATTGAATTAAAAAAAAAACTCATAGAATTATCATTCTCCTTAAGAATTACTAGTAATATATTTTATCTTGTACAAGTTTATAATTCAACAGTCTTTGGATAGTTCCCTAAGCTTCTGGATATGACTCAAAACAGTTAATTTTATATTTTAAGTTGATAGAACAAAATTTTTCTATATGAAGAATTTAAATGATGAAATACTAATCAAAATTTACATGTGATAAATCTATTTCAGATCCAGAAAACACTTTCCTTAGTTTCTCCAATCCCAACTACCAATTTGAAGACCAACTTAAAATGAAATCCAGTAAAATTAACAAAGACGTAAACATCTATGATGAGGTAGACATCACGTCAATGTCTCTGTTAGACAATAAATCTGCTTCAGAAAAATACTCCAACAAAAGTGAGAAACAGAGACTTCTGGCCGAATTGTCTGCCGACAGTTCATCAGAGGATGAAGACAGGAGTGAATGTGAAAACAAGGACTTAAAACAAAACACATGGAAAAATGAGAAAAATCTGATGCAGAAAGGGGGCAGGAATTCACAAGTGGAGAATGAAAACTCTGGCAAGAAATCCACAGGGTTTCTGGACTATTACTCCATGCTGGAAAGCAAAGCCAAGGAAAAGTCCCAATCCGTCTCATCCGACCTGGATCTGGAACTGGAGTGGAGTGGGATTACATCTCCAGTCAGCCAGGCCAAAGTCAAGTCAGTGTCATAGGAGTCAAGTCTGCTTTCTTGCAAAAGAATTGTATTTTTTTCCCAAAGAAATGAAGCTTTTATGATATGCTAATTCAGAGAATTTGTGTCCCCTGTTAAAGAAAAAATTGAGGGTAGAAAAAGTGAAAAAAGTTATGCAGATGGAAAAATACCTTCAGCTTTTGGACTTTAAGTCAAAAGGGGTATTTTTTAGGTTAAAGAAATTCATTACCTTAAGTTTCATTGCAGAAGCTTACAGAGAAGTAAAGTACTGTATGCAATATATAAAATTCTGACCTTGGATTTTGACCTTTTGAACTCAATGTCAATAGGAGTCTTTTTTTAATGTCATATTGACTAAAGGTATAAATTTCATTGCAAAACCTCAAAGAGAACTAGAGTTATCACCAGGAAACCATTTTTTGCAAGATATGAGTTTATTACCTAGACCTTTTGACCTAAGAATCAAATTGGGTCTTTGAGTCATTTGGGGATATGTTCTAAGATTTCATTGAAAAAGCTCCAGGAAAACTAGAATTATTATCTGGAAATCATTTTTTGCATTGTATGGATTTCTGACCTTGACCTTTGACTTAAAAATCAATATTGGTTTTTTAGGCCATATTGAAAGAAGCTTAAAGAAAATTAAAGTTTGAAAAAAGGAAAATGCTATTTGCAATGTATGAATTTCTGACCTGTGACCCTTTGATCTCATCTTCTTTTAGGGCTGGGACGATATATCGAGATATCGATAATATCGATTCAATGTGAGGATGATACGCATATCGATACGTATGAAGAAATATCGACATATCGACCAAAAAATTCTGACTTGTGTTTTTCTTTGTTTACTTAACATTTTGGGTTTAATATATAAAATAAATATGCTTAATATAAATATAAATATGAAATACATAATAATTAAGACCACTTGTGCAAAATAATTAAGTTTTACAACAGATATGCAACTTCTTTGAATAAATTATTCTTATTTGTGAAGAAATGTTTTGTTCATTTCAATATAAAAAAAGAATTAATAACCAATTAAACATATCGTGATACATATCGTATCGTGGCTCAAATATCGGGATACGTATCGATATAGAAAAAGTTGTATCGTCCCAGCCCTATCTTCTTTACACCATAAGGAGTTTTTATACAACATTTCATTGCAAAATCTCAAAGCCTTCTTAAGATATCACCCAGAAATGAAAGTGTTACATGCAGAATGTATGAATTTATATGACCTTGACCTTTGACCTTTCAACTGAAAATCAATAGGGGGTCTTCTGTAGGCCATAGGGAGTAATATTTTTTAAAAATTTTATTGAAAAATAGCTCAAAGAAAACTAAACTAAAGTTATCATCAGGGAACCGTTATTTGCAATGTAAGAATTTTTTACCTTGACCTTTGACCTCAAAATCAATAGGGGTGTTTTTAGACCATAAGGAGTTGTGATATAAAATTTCATCACAAAATCTGAAAGGTTTCCCTTGACCTTTAACCTCAAAATCAATAGGGGTCTTTTTTTTAGGCCATATGGAGTTATGATATAAAATTTCATTACAAAAACCCAAAGGCTTTTAAGAGATATTGTCCAGAAATGAAAGTGTTACACACAAACAGATGGACAGACAGAAGACCAGATTTATTTCCCAGGGCTTTCAAAAAGATTATAAGCAAGTATTTTTAAAAAAAATAGGAGGTACCTTGTGGAAGTGATTTTAATTAAATATGTTGCTAAACTTTTATCAGTCAAATATTTTTTCAATATTTTGTCCGGTACAATTACAATTTGAGCCGGGTATAGTACCGGATACAGGCAGATTTGGAAAGGCCTGATATCCCCCACTTTCACTGAAAATAGTAGGGATAAATATAAAATTTCATAAAGTTAAATTTAAGGAATTGCCTGTGTTTTTTGGAGATGCCAAAAAAGTAAGCATTGCTAATTTATGTTTTAGGTTTGACATAAACTCGCCTGATAGTGGTATCCATTCAGATGCAAGATCAGATGATGGGACACATGTCCATGGACCTGTTAATGATGATGTTTCCTCAGTGGTCACTAAGTCATCAGAGCAGGACAGTTCGGAAGAAACCACACCCACAGGGGTAAAAGAAAACTTATTTTTCAAAATAATTGTTTCATGTTCTGAGACAAAAAATCAGAATATTGGTTAAGTTCCTTTATACGTATTATAAATAAACACAGCATATTAAAAACATTTTAAAGTTTCAATTAACAAAAGAAATTACCACTAGAAATATTTTTTTAATGCAAAAAACCATGTTTTACCCAATAGACTTATGTGTTTTTGATCCATCAAATCAAATATTGAAAGGTTGGGGATTCTGGTCTTTGCCAGTTGCATCCCAATGTTTTTATGTCCTTGCCAGTAGTAAAGAAGATGCCAGACAGAGATTTTATGTGAATGGGGGATTTAATATGCATTATATGTCACAAGTAATTTTTGAATGGCTTTCTTTTCTTTAAGCAACTGATAAATCATGTGTGAAATAGTAAAATAATGACTTAAAGTGAACTTTAAATGTAAGTAGTTAAAAGATTTGACCATCACAGTGCCATCAAAGGAAATTTTACAGATAGAGGATGGAGTATGGAGTCTGTGATAAAGACCATTCCTCTAATCAGGATTGAAGATCTTGTTATCCCACAAGTCATATTCTTCAAAAACAGGGCTTCACTTTGTCATGCAATGAGAGAGTCCCATTGTCTTGAGATGTTCTTGATCTGCAGTTTTTGAGGATTATTTATTAGCACAAAATAAAGATACACTGCGTACATTTTACTGCAATCGTGTAATTAGAACTCTCTCTAGTGTCTCCTCTAATATTGATCCACGGAACTTGTTGGGCCCTTGTCTGGTGTTGCAGTGATTAACTGTTGCTTTAGATGACAGGGTTTCACAAATCCGATTGTCACTGCGGTATTTCTGAGATCCCTACTTACATCCGGCCATAATCTTTATTTTAGCTCTCCAGTCTTCGTAAACATTTCTCGTGTCAAGTAGTGCACTTTAAAATTGAAATGAAGAAGCCCCACAAAATTGTTACACTTATGATTATGCAATCTGTTATACTGTCTGATTGGTTTTTCTGTTGACCTTGTGTAGGACGTGCCGAAGGAAGTGGTGCTGCCACCTGGCTGGGAGAAGTGTGAGGATGAGGAGGGGGCGTATTACTGGCACATCAAGAGTGGGACGATCCAGAGGGAGCTACCATCACCAGCTCCACCCGATGTCAAACAGACCACACTTAGGTCACTGAGTGTTAAGAGTAATTCAGTATGTTCCATTTGTTTTACATGTTTTAGCCTGTACATCATACTGTGAAAGCCAGATAATGAAATTACTCAGAACATTAAAATCTGATTATAATTAGAGAACTTAAAAAAAAGTTCTGGAGAGCTACAGTATTGTTTTGAATTGGGACATTATGCATGAAGTTTGAATTGTAGCAATATACAGTAAAACTCTGTTATCATGGTTATAGTGAAGTCCTTGGGACCTCTGAATTCGTGAGTTGGTATATCTGTATAGTGAATTTCCTAAAGTATATATAGTGAAATCAGAGTACATGTTTTCCTTTAAGTATGATTTCAGAATATGTTCAGGGAAGTATTTAATACAAAAATTATCTTGGAGGACTTAAGTTTTCTGATGAATTTAATTTCAAATATGAATTTTTATGAAAAATAATGTCAGTTTCAAAATTTTATGATCTTAAAAAAATCATTATAAAGATGTATATTTTGTTATCTTTTAACTTGTACAGAACACAAAATCAATTTGCCTTATCCATAAATTTGTAATATCTGAGTTCTTTATAACCGTAAAAATTTACAAGGAATTGTTGGAATTTGTCAGGCATCATAAAATGTAAATTCCCTACGTCTGTGTTTCTACTAAACAAGTTTTTTACACTGTAGTATTTTTTTTTCAGTTCCAATTATGATGATTCAAGCATAGAATGTGTTATAGTGTGGTATTTTTCTGTATTCTTTCAGAGTTCTGGCTCTACAAATGGATCTGTACCCTCTAGTCCATCTAGTGTATCCTCTAATACAGAGGACCCACTAAAGGCTTTTGAAGGCCATGCCTTACAATATGCTGCAAAATCATTGCAAAACATGTGAGTATTAGAGGTAATAGTTTTGATTGTTGTGGAAAAGGGTTTTTATGCCTCCGTCATAAATTGGCCGGGGGCATATAGTGTTACCCTGTTCTGTCATTCCATCATCATTCACTTTCCGTTCATTATCTCTGCAACAATTGCACACATTCAACTCAAATTTGACATATGGATACATCATAGGAATACGCAGGTCAAGTTAGAATTTTGTCATGGTCCGATGATTTTTTGACAGAGTTATCCCTCTTGAACTTAGAAAAAAAAAAGAAATTTTCATTTTCCACTCTCTTACTTTTGTAGGGATGTATGTTTAAGGTTGAAATTGCATATGCAGGTATTTTACCAGAAAATACAGGTCAAGTTCAAATTTGGTCCTGGTCCAATGATTTTTGACAGTTATTCCCCTTGAACTTGGAAACGATTTAAAAATTCACAATTTCTAATCATTATCTTGGCTACAAATGTGCAATTTACAATAGTTTCTATTTATTTTCTAAGTTATAAAATAATGCACATTTTGTGTATACTATATGCAAACAAATTTAAAACTAATATGTAGGGATGTCAAAATATTTATTTTCTTTAGTTGAATATTCGATTGCATTATTCGAACGATAGTCGAATATATTCGAATCTTTTTTGGAAAATAAAATTTTATTTTAAACCTCATTGGTACATGACGTATTTAACCCCAAAACCCTTTTTTCAAGTTTATCAAAAAGTAAAAGTAACAACAAATGTTACACACAGATGTTCACGTTGACCTAAAATGTGGATAGCGTGTTTATATTAACTAAATCTTGTCCATAAATCGGTCTGTAAAGACGTTTTTTTTTAGTAAGCATAAAAAATGACAGTACTATTTATTTTTTAAGCTTATTAAAATAATTGAGGGGTAAGGAAGGGGGGGGGGGGTAAAACACACAATACCCACACGCCAGATGTCTGTGATAATGTTAAACAGTTGAATATACTTTTTGTCCCGGCTATCAAAATGTCTTTGAATTTTGTAAAAGAATATTAACTCTATAATAATTATCGTAGCGTCCAAACATGTCACGGCTATAATGGGTACATCGTTTGAGATCAAGCCCAGTTAATAATTTTACAAACAAAGCCCAGCATAGTGAGATAATTTTATTACAAAAACAACACATTAATTGACAAATAATTCTCGCAGAAGTGAAGCATTTCTAATTACTGTACTCTTTACATGTAAAGTCAACAGTTTTGAATGAGGAAAATCATCTTATTGACTGTGTCTGAGGAAAGACGGTTTCTTGATTTTAAATAAGATGAGAATTCCATCTCTTTATCATTCTTTAATTGAATTTATTCATTCGAATATCATTTCATTATTTGATCGTCGGTCCATTCGACTGATAGTCGAATAGTCGACTATTCGTTGACATCCCTACTAATATGGCATTTGAAATTTTGGCTGCCTGTGGAGGCATTCGTGGCATTACGACACATCTAGTTGTAATTTACCAGGATATAAGGGACGCTAATTATGATAGTAAGACCACAGTTTTATTCCTTTTTACTTTATAAGTAATGGTTTTCTTATTACCTAGTTCCTCGAAGCAGGAGGTGCAACCAGAACCAAGGAAGACTGAACCGCATGAGAAGCCAGTACGATTTGCAGTTCAGTCGTTGGGTTGGGTCAGGATAGCTGAGGAGGATTTGACTCCTGAGAGAAGTAGTCGAGCTGTCAATAAATGTATTGTGGATTTGTCATTTGGCAGGAACGATATCAACGACGTAGTTGGTCGATGGGGAGATGTAGGTTTCCTGGGATAATTCTCTTTGATTTTCAATATTTGTGTAAAGATTTTGCTCAAGTAAAAAAAAAACATACATGTATGGATCAATATTTAAAAATATTTGTTCTTAAAAACATGAATGTTTATTTTTACATAGTAGATGCCACAGTTAAGTGATATATAATATGTGTGTAAATTGGTGGCCCATTAAATTGTATCTGTGTAATTTCTTGATTCTCTTTAGGGTAAGGATCTGTACATGGATCTGGACAAAGACAGTCTGAGGTTGGTGGACACTCAGGATTTCACCACTCTTAACTCACAGCCCATACAGTCCATCAGAGTCTGGGGAGTGGGCAGAGACAATGGACGGTATGTATCTAAATATGGAAATTTAAAATGTCTTTGTTAGCAGTTTGTTGTAATATGTGTTTTTTTTAAAAACATAATAATTAAAATGATGGTAAAGCTTATAAGATACAATTGAGTGAACATCACTGTAATACTTCAATTTCAATTTCATTTCTTTTTTTTCCCCAAACAACCACAGGGAGAGGTAATATATTGTATTATGTGTGTATACTTGTATGTAGATAGATGTTTGTTTCTTCAGTCACACCTTGTGACATTTGCTGAAGAATTTATGGTTTCTCTACATTTGGAATAAAATGATATAAAAATGGTTATGTATTATAGCACAAACAAATTGTATTAAAGATGTACAGCACAAACAATGTGATATATGCAATAGTGTTCAACAGTGTCACTGGTGTGTATGGCCTTTGTTCTCTGGTAACAATTAAAAGCAGTAGTTGTCGAGGCATTTGGTGTAAATTTTTTTAAATTCTTTGTTAATTCAAATGTTTTTGCACCACTTAAAATTTTTGCAAAAAGCTGTATAATTAGTAGGAGTTTTTTTAATTATGTCAGCTATGTTTGATTTAATTTTGCAGAGATTTTGCTTATGTTGCTCGTGATAAGACAACAAGGAAGCATATGTGTCATGTGTTTCGATGTGACACCCCGGCTCGACACATTGCCAACACTCTGAGAGACATCTGCAAGAAGATCATGTTGGAGCGACACTTGGAACAGAATGCAGTGGTTCAGCGACTTAGTCGCCCCACCGACCTCCCAAACCTGGACAAATCTAATGGACAGACAAACGGACAAAAGCTGTCCTTTCAGAGCTTGTATAGCAGTAAGTCATGGAACAAGCAAAACTGTCACTCCTATCTGTAAATCTATGTTTATAGCTTTAGTGGAGTAACTATAATTGTGGTTGGCTACAAATTATATACATTATTTATATACATATCATGTATATGCATAATTGCATTAAAAAATTGAATGTTCCTGAAAATAAATTCACAGTCCTCTGTGAAATTTTTAAAGGAGCTTTTAGAATCTGAATTTAGTCAACTTAAGTTAGCTTTAATATTATATTTAGATAATGAAGTTATATTGTAACATATGCAAATTGTGTAACAATAATGTCTTCGTAGGTATTTCATTTCCTACCCCAATGGAGGAACCTAAGAAAATCATCCGCTGTCACTATCTTGGACGTGAAATGGTCTCTAAGCCAACAGGTAAAAATTGCTGTCAGAATTTTACAATAAAAGTTTCTGTAGGATTCAAGGAATATCACTTTTTCTTCAACTATGAATTACAGTTCACAATTTCGTTTTATGATTTTTAAAGAAAATATTTAACTAATCTTGATAAGAATATCCCTAATTAGCTCTTGGTTGGTCTTGTAGGGACTGATGTACTAAACAATGCCATCGAGTCTCTCTACAGTCGTATCCCACCAGAAAAATGGATCTTTGTTGATGTAGCAATAGCTCCCTCCACTCTCACTATAACAGAACATGGGGTAATTGTCAGAGGGTACTAAACCTGGTATCTTAAGGTAGTCCGATCCTCAGGTTCTGAAAATCAGCTTTTCAGTAATTGAAAATGATCACAAAAATGTCTTGGATTTTGCAGAACAACGTGTATTTACCCATGGTATTTCTTCAAAATTCATCAGTAAAGTTAATCAAATTATAAAGGGAAAATTATCAAATCTCAAATATATTTTTAGTAAATGCGAATAAAAGCACCAGCTATGGATTTTCTGATTGAAAACTGATCAACAAATATATTTTTGGTTTAAAAATGATTGGTATCCAGGCATTTGGAAAAAATTAAATGTTTTGCACACTTATACAGTATTTTAGTTCTTCTATTTATTTCAATTGTTATAAAATACATAGTGTAAAACGTACGTGTGTATTATCATTGCAAGACATCCCAGATCACTTCTAATTTCATATCATGCTCATAAGCATTGGGAACTAATGCTAGATTAGAGGAAATTTGATTTCTCTAAAAATGAATTTATTTTTGTACCTTTGTGGGGTACAATGTCAACTTTTCATAATATTATTTCTAAGACTTCAAAGAACCTTAAATCATATTGAGATGCATAAAAGGAAATTGTTGCGAGAAAATATTTCAATTTCAAGCTTCATTTTGAGACTTTTTAAATTAAATAATAGATTTAAGAGTTATCATTCCTATCTGAGGATCGGATATCCTTAATAGCTTGTCTGGTTCTAATAGATATTTGACAGTCATTACTCAGGACAGAAACTCAATGAGTGTTGTATTTTGTAGAAACCAGAGAACAGAATAGATGACTGTCGCATTCGATATCTGTCATTCATGGGAATAGCCATGGAGAATGCCAAGTAAGTGTTGAACCAGTATACATTATCCCCCCCCCCCCCCCCCACACACACACACACAAAAGCAGCACTCAGTAGAAAATTGGAAAAGGGCATATTTATTAGGTCTTCCTGCTTTGTAGTATTTATTTTTCCTCAGTCAAAGGGTATCTTTCCTGCAAGATGATTGTAGAGTTTTTTTCAGATCATAGGTGTGCTTTTTGTGAAAATGGCCAGTGTTAAGGACTTGTAGTAGCATGAGAATATACCTTTGATATTGTGTTAGGACATTGTTGAAGGCCACGGTTGGGTTCAAGGTCATAGCTAATCATTCTATAGAGCACAACGGTCTTGAATAATAATGTGTCCCTACATGGGGAAAGCTTATGTAAAAATTTAATATAGGAACTATAAATACAAGTTGGTGATTTTAGTCACCACTTCATCTTTCTGGGGCATCATCGTGCTTCCCTTACATTTGATGGTAACATTGTTTTCTTCATGGAAAAGAATTAACATGAAAGCTTAAATGCATTTAAGCTTAAGCTTAGTCAATACAATATTTTTTATACATGAGATGTTCAGAGTTGCCCTGGAAATACCAGTGGTGGTATTTACCAGTGTGGAATAAGCTATAATATCATTTCCCAGTTATTCCCGAAAATTACCAGTATTTCCCACTGTGGTCTTTTTTTTGGGGCCAAACCTGGAGATATTTGTACTTGAATATGAAACTTATCAGTTTGTTTAGTGGTTTATTCTATATATTAAAATGTCTAGGACTTAGTAGTTCATAACTCACTGATGGTGGTATGTTCATGAAGAGAGATAACTTGTACTTTGACATTGTTACAGATTGGGTGGCTTCATTATACATGGGGCTGAGGACCAGTTTTATGCCCATGTGTTCCACTGTGAGCCATCAGCTGGACCTCTGTGTAAAACTATAGAGGCAGCTTGTAAGGTAGGGTTCTTTGTGATTTAGTTTTGATTACTTATATTTGAAAAACACTAAACTTATTACATGTATATCTTTATCTTTTTCTGAACACAGTCCTTCCTGCTTGTTAACAAAGTACTTAATTGTCTTTGAAACTCATGCATATAAAAACATTTATAGCTACTCTTTTTTTTTTATACCTTCACTTAAAAAGTGAGGGGGTGTTATATAGTGATGGGGTGTTCGCTACAATTCCTTACGTCCATCTGTTACACTTTGTCATTTTACTCATCTAGGAGCTGGGGGTATCATTTTGTGAGCTCAGTGCTCACAGTACCTCTAGTTTATTCTTTTTTCCTTTGTTGATCATACATTGAAATATATATGTTTAAAAATCTCTCTTAATGTAATCCATATACATGTAGAAGATTAATATGATGAATCCGATGACATCTAAAAAAAATGTGAAATCAATATCCCTTGTCCATGGTTTAAAATCCTAAGGAGGGGCAAAGTTGATTGTTGAGAATGTTACGATACAAGTCATGATATGGGTGGCCTATAGTTAAAAACTATAGATATTTGATTGTCAGTGTATAGCAAAAACTTGTGAAAGGACATTCATGAAATATTAATGTAATTAATTTATTTTCCAGCTACGGTTCCAGAAATATTTAGATGCACATGGAATTCAGACCCCAACTCCGACACAGAAAAACAAGGTGTGTTTAAAATGAACATTTCTTTGTTTTGTTTTATATATTGTGGTGACCTGTTTTTTTTATCAGTCACATTCTTTTTGTTGACATCTTTTATAATATCATCAATATTAAAACAAGATATATGGTATTTGGTTTTGTGATTTTTTTTACCTTTTGTATTAATTTTGTGGCTATTCTTATTGTAATTTTTCTTCTTTTATGATTCTGTTTTTTTACTTATTATCCTTTGTTGTCTTTATCTTGGCATATGGTATTTGATTTGCATGTCATTTTGTTGTGGTCTGTAGTTGGAGAATATAGGGGCAACCTTCAAAGCAGGGATGAAGGCCAGTGCAGAGGGGGTACAGTCGGGGGTCAAGGCCAGTCTACATGGAGTTCAGTCTGTGTTCAGTATACTTAAAAGTAAAGTCAAATCTGACCATACGTGATGACCTTTATCACATTTGTAGGTACACAAACTTATAGGATATGAAATACAGTTGAACTTTGGTATCTCGAACACTGATATCTCAAATACCATGGATATGTCAAAGTGATTTGGAAGTCCCAATCGCTTATTCCTTGAGTATTTTACCCTGGATATCTGGAACCCTCAAATATCTCGAAGTATTTTCTTGGTCCCATCTAGTTCGAGATAATGAGGTTTGACTATATTAAGCTTTCTTGTACTATTTTAACATACTGTTTAAGGTTTATAATGACAACAAAAATTCTGCATCTTGAATTATTGTTAAGAGGAATTTAAATACCATGTAAGCAGAATTTTTAGCAAGGATTCAATTTTGGCATTACTAGTGAGGGTGTTGAGATCACTAAAATTGAATATCGCTAACAATACATTCCATATCAATGGTAATAGCTGTCTATCTCCACATTATAAAATTGTTAAAATTGCTTCTCGCTAAAATATATTTATAAATTTTTAAGGATAAATTGCTAAAATTATGTCCTGCTGAAAATTCCACTTATATAGCATTATTTTCCTTGAGTTCAAATAATTTCTATTATTGTGTCATTATATTACATATTGTTGTAAAATGTGTATTGAAATCAAACAAGGAAAAAGCTGGAAACTTTTAATTCCAAATATGCTTCATGTTTTGTAGACAGGAGTAAAAAGAACAGGTATATCCTGAGGATTACCAACACTAAGTACATAATTAATCTCTGTGATTTGTTTATATTTTCCAGAGTTTTGGTGCTTGCTTTCGACACAGTGTTCAGAGCTTTGTGGAGACCTTGAAGTCCCCTGTCAAGTAAGTCTACAAGCAAGAAATAGTATCCAACAGAATGCTTGCAAAGAAGACAAATAATGCTGATCTACCATTCGTAACTAAATAACTACATTAGAACTGTTGTGTTTGATGGTGTTCATTGAAAGGAATAAATCCAGCATTATAAATTATATTGTGTAAGGTAATATGCAAACTGTCTGTACATGCTTGTGAATATTTTGTAGTGTTTTTTGGATAGGAGACGGTATAAAATTTAACATAATTTTTTGCATACAGTATTTACCAATGAATCTCCTGTTTTCCTGTTGAAGATATTTGAAAATCTGATTGTTCCTTGGTACATGAAGATTTTTAGGGACTCTGAGCAAGTTTTACCAAATATGAAAATCATAAACAGGCTGGAATCTTGAAATGACTGGCAATGTAGAAAAGCTTGCTGTGAGAATATTTTAACACTGCATTCCACATTTTTGTAATTGTACGTAAAAGTTTGTACATGTACTAATACTTGTAAGCTTTAATTTTGTATGATATTTTTATACATGTAAATGTCTGCCAAATCTTTGTTCTGTTAATGGTTGAATTTTATACTAAATTTTTATAGCCTCTGTTTTGATTTGTTTTTCAATCCTTGCCTTTGTTATCAAGCAGGTATATATACATATAGTTGTGTTATTTTTGTTTTTAAAAAGTTATCAAAACCACCATTTAAAAGGGTAGTTTGGTTGTTTTTGCAAAACTTTGAGGACCAGTTTAATATGAGCTAATGTGATATTGGTATGGGCATTTGTACTTATTTGTATGCTATGTATACAAGTTCATTTTATTTCTTCCAGTGTGTTTTAATTTGTACATGGCTTATACATAATTAGTTTGTAGAATGGTATTTAATACATTTAATTATGAGTTGATTTACTGCTAACATGCTATTTTTTTTTAAATCTATGCCAGTTTATATACTCATTTAATATTTTTTATCCTGATGTTGCTTTTACCAATGATTTGCCATATTATTGTTTTCCGACTTATACCCATGTGCAATATCAAGTGTTTTCAGGTGTAACAGCCATTTTATAGTGTAAGAACACTTACTGTGACAGTTTAATTCATTGATTTGTTTGATTGTCTTGTTTTGCTGAAATACTTATGTTTTATGCATTTCTGTGAATCCATCTGTGATGAGGAACTTGTACTTTTCTATGGACTTGAATTTATCAAGAGTTATTTCCCGTTGGTTGTCATACAGGAGGTCACCATGCTTGGATGTCACTGAAGTGTAGAAAAGACGGATTTTTCAGATGAATTTGCTTTAGTTAAAGTCTCCTATAATTCATGATTATTTTTATATTGTTAAGATTTTTGCCATATATCATTTATTCTTGCTATACATGTTTTAAATTTCATCAATCAAAAAAGAAAATTCCCAAGGTTGACCTCCAAACATGCTGGCCAAGGGGAATAACTTTGACAGAAAATGTTATACTTTCTAAATTACTGGAATTTTTCAAAGAAATTTTATTGCAACAGATATTCAAGAATTCCAAAATTTTTCTCCAAAAATGTGACAAAAATCAGTTGTTATTATTATATAATGCATATTTTTTTTGCTTTATTTTAGAGGATGTTAGTCAGGGCTATTTTAGCCTTATATTCAAACCCCCTGGGAAAAATATAAGAAATTGCATTAAATTTGACAGCTCAAACAGAAAAATACCATTTCATATTTTAAAGATGGATCTGTTTGGTAATCTGTTTAGTACTCAGCCTCCTTGATCTTTTAAATTCAAGTCAATCAAGGTAGATACATATTCAGATTTAATTTCATTCAAGTCATCCTGCAAATACAGTAAAACTCGATAAAGTGAATTCCCTTCACTATATACATAATGAGTAATAACCTATAATGAATTTGTTTTAAAGCATAAATAGCGAATTCTCAATATACATATTTTCTTTCAAGTATAACTACCAAATATGTTAAGAGAAGTATTAAATACAAAACTTACCTTAGAGAAGTAAAATTTTCTGATGATTTAAATTTTAGATAAAAAATACCAAAAAATGTCGAATCAGTATTTTGAGATTTTTAATATATTGTTGTAAAAGGATGTAAATTTCACTATTTTTAACCTCTACAGGACACAAAATCTATTTGCTATGTCTGTAAATTCTTTATATTAGAGATAAGATAAAGTTTTGCAAGGAATTGTTATGAATTTTTGCCATGGATCCCAAATACTTGACTATATCCATTAATTTGCTATACATGTATCTATAAATTTGCTACATCTGTAAATTTTCTATATCCATGTTCGTACTAAACAAGTTTTACTGTAGAGGCTGTTGCCATCTTTTCCCTTCAATGACACTGATGGGTGACAAGGTTGTGTTTTATTTTTTAAAATGGTATCTTTAAATGACTGGAAAATCAAAATATTACTGTTATTAAAATTTGTTTTTATTTTTAGAATTTATATTAATGTTGTTTCCTAATACTGAGGTTTTTTTTTTTCATTTGCAATCATTTTCTCTTAGATTTTATGCAAAATCATGCTATCACGATGTTGTATAGAATGTATGTTTATACTATTGAATGAATGTGTCATTCAGAAAGAATTGTATCTCTTTTATTATTCTTACAAATCTAACCTAAAAATTAAGTCCTGTTAAGTATATTGACTGGAATTTGAACATATTTTGTAAACTTTCTTTGAAAATCTGTCAAGCATTAGGAAAATCGTTGGATACTTGGCATTTTAGACTTTATAATTATCTCTATATATAAATTTTATAAATGATCATGTAGTCATAGGTGACAATTGTGTACATTTATTACTAAATCAAATAATTGTTATTGTATATTAATCTTTTAATATTTGTTTCAGCATAACAGAACCTCTCTACAAATTATTATCCACAAATGAAGATTTTTTGTACACATACTACAATTAATACATTTTTTTCTGATTAAACCAATCTTCTTGGTTTCTCTGGAAATATTTTGGACTTTTGACTTTGAGTGGGAATCTTCAAACTGTTTGTAATTCTGTATATAATCAAATTATTTTGCCATATATTGGCATATAAATTGTATATTATTGTGAGTGTGATGATTGATATGTACAGTGTACTTTGTCTGTTGATTTATGGTACAGTCAAACCTCATTATTAAGGAATCCAATAATTTGGATGCTTCACCTTCAGGACAAAATTTGTGGAGAACAGAATTTACATTTATATTCATCAATTATCCAAACTATGTTTCAGTAATCCGGAACACTTCACTAATCTGGATGATTTGCTGGGAAAGTCCAGTAGCTGGATTAATGAGGTTTGACTGTATTATACATGTAAACTACTGTCTGTTAAATTTCCTGTTGTGGTTGTGATGCTGTTCTACATTTAACATTAATCAAGCTTTTTAAAAAAGGCATCAAAAATAAGAAAGAATTGTAATATATACAAGGAGTGGATGTGTTGTATAAAATTAAGTCGTAAGGAGCAAGGATGAAACTATGTAACTATTGAATTAATTTATCTGCATCTCAAATTAAGCATGTTACTGGATTCTTTCCAACAAAAACTGTATACTTGTCACATTGTGGTTAAGAAGTGATGAGCTGCTAATTTTCATCCACTCTACAATAGTATTGAGCATATGTTTATACAAATGTAGTAGACAAAACAAGATTGAAAAACATTGTTTAGTCCACTCATTTGCAGTTGGTTTCAGTTGTTAATGTATTTTCTGACATTGCAAATAATAATAATAAAGCATGATATTGCTAAAAAGATTTAGATTGTCTGTGCATTGACTCATAAATAGGAGACTTCATAATTCTATAATCATTTATACCCAAAACCTGCCACTGTCTATTATAACAGTGATAATAGACTGCAAGTTTTACTTGGATGAACTTGAATATTCAAAACTGCAACACTTTTGGGTAATATGTATAATAAAAGAATAGCAATACTTTGTTTTCTTTGCATGAAATCACATGAGGTTATGATCCACTTTGCCCTTGTTTAAAATCATAGCATAGACTGACTTCACATTTTACTTAAGCAAACCTTACAGTACATAATACTGCATTTTAGGCAGATATATCCGTACAGTAAATTTTATAAAACTGCATGTTCTTAAAAATTAATTTGGAGTTCACGACATTTTAGAGGTCTTAAATAACTTATCTTTTGCTCCTATGTGCAAAAACAAAGAAAGAAAAGAAATCCAAGAAACCCTGTCTGTTAAATTGCAATCATAAAATGTAAACATTAGGTGGACTTTACCCACCGTGCAGGCTTAGCCATAGTAATTATGCAGTTATGAAGCATGTTAGGCAATTATAGCTATATTGATATGAAAGCATCCTCAGGTAGTGTGGATTTAAGTTTGTTCAAATCACGACCCCCCGGGGGTAGAGTGGGGCCACAGTGGGAATCAAAGTTTTACAGAGTCTATATAGGAAAAAAATCTCAAATACAGCAAACCAATTACCGGTATTAGTCATACTGATATTGAAGCATCCTCAGGTAATTTAGAATAAAGTTTGTTCAAATCATGACCCCTACGGGTAGGATGTAGCCACATTTTTAAAAATCTTCTCTTCAATAACAGCAAAGCCATCACTAGTCATATAAATATGGAAGCATTCTCAGTTAAGATTAAAGTTTGTTCAAATCATGACACCTGGGGGTAGGATGGGGCTACAACAGGGACCAAACTTTTGTATAGGAATATGTAGGAGGAGAAATCTGCTGATGAGAATGGCAGGGCCATATTGACTCAGGTGAGCATTGTGGCCCATGTGCCTCATGTTATTCATAAGTTGATATTTTTATTGATGTCATACATTTATTCCATTCTGGATGTGTAGAGTTCTGTTGTCATGGTGACACATAACAAGAGATGACAATAAAATAAATTACCTTTTATTTCTATCAATAACAGAAAAACAATACATATTCACATAGATATCAAAGATGTGTATAAATATGTTATATACAACAACGAAAGATAACCATAGCAGCCCTGAGGCCTGGCAGAAAAAGGAAAAATTGCACTAATATTGTCTAAGGCTAAAAAGTCCGTGCACTTTACATAAATATTGGCTAATCTCAGTTTATACATTCATACAATAAAAGCAACACATTATATGGCACTTCACGTTTCTCAGCACTGTACATTGACATTGCACAATTGATTTCTCCTGTGTGACTGGACGTGATTCAATAACTTTCTAAATACCTTTTAGTAATTAATGGAAATATGAAAAAGATGTATTGATTTAATCTCCTTAATAAGGTCACATTACTGGAATAACAAAATTTATACAAATGGAATTGTTTAAACATAAGTGATTGCTAGGCACCCTAAGATTAAATATTCAAAGTCAGAGATGCACATGAACAATAATATATTAAGTACCAGGTATTGAAAATGATTTTCCAGTCTACACAAAGGTACACATAACCACACTGAATTTTAAAAGAACAATGTTTTGACGTGAACAATGCATTCTCAGTGAAAGCTCAAAACATTCTGGTCAATTAAAAATGAACCTGACAGTGAAAAAAGCATGCCTTAAACCAACATTAATTTAAAACCTTGATAAAGTTGTTTGTGCTGACTGATTGTATCTGATAATTATGATATGACAGGTGCTCTTGCATTAAGAGCTGGTCTCCTGCAGTGTATGCACAGAAGTGGCTTTGTAACAAGGACAGGTAAAAATGTATCATTTTAACATGCTGCAATATAAATGCACTACAATACTTAACTATTCCTCACATAACTATACCCCCTATGTATGAAGTAGATGATTATTCTATTAAACAGTCTGGATAGGATCATGCAAGGTCAGGGTTTTCCTGTGGGCTACAAAGCTTACCTGGTCTTGTTAGACTTCTTGTGCTTTTTACGACTGTTGTGAAAGGAAAAATTATTTTATGAATGCATTTAAATTATTCAAATTGATGAAAAAATTCAGAAAATTGTAGAATTCAGTAAATATGAACAAGTATCATAAGGCAGAAAATGGAAAGCTTCATGAATAGTGAAAGCAGACAGTTAAAAGTGCAAGGAATGTAGCACTGATGCAATGCTTCCAGAATTTATAAAAATATAACATAGTTCATTATTCAAGACAAAGTATTTTTACAAATATGACAGATCACTATATTATACAAATTAAGGTACATTTTCAGTTGCAAGCCATTTGAAAGAGCTTATCATTAACAATGCAGCTTTGGTTTTCATGCACAATATTTTTTATTACCTGACCATGCTTGTTACTTTTGGCTGTGAAAATCATAAAATTAATTAGTGAACATTGTGAAAAACAGATTTAGCACAAATATGTTATTACACATAAAATAAATTGTGCATCTTAGTGTAACAAAAATACCAGTACACTCACAATTTTAACACAGAGACGTACATTTTCATGTAAAACAGTGAGACAGAAACATATCAACTCTGGTGACTGCTGAACGTACCCAATAGCACCATAAAACAGGTAGAAATATCATAATACTGACTAGTTCACAATTATTGCAAGAACGTTTTTGTACCCCATGTTATTTAATTAACAAGAAATAAGGATTTCAGTGACCAATACATAAACTTTTGGTTAAAAATGGCCTTTTGATAGCCAAGACAAATACGATAACATTTACATACAAATTAAAACATGACAATTGCAAAGTTCATGCACATAAAAGCAGACTGTGATTTTGTAATTAACTGTGAGACAACCACATAAACACCATCCAACAGAAAAGTATTCACCTGAATGGGGCTGGATGTTTGACGATTTTCAGGTGCTCTGCTACAAGCACTTTATCTCTCCTCACTGATGGTTCTCTTTTGGAGGCATCCTTATAAAGTCGTGTCCCCACGGCAATCCCGCTGGGGCGGGGCACGCTGCGGCGAGCCTGGAGAGGGGAGTGTATGTAACTGCGGACAGGACTTGTGGCATGAGGGGCAGATATAGCACTACGAGGGGGCAGCTTCTGTTCTGATCTCCTGGAGCGCCTTGTCAGAAGCTTCTCTGACTTTGTATGTCCGTTAACAAGGTTACTAGCCTCCCCATTCTCATGGTCGCCCTCTATCACTTGCGTCTTGTTTCGTTTCTTACCACTTAGTAGTCCTTTAGCTTGAGCTCTGGCAAGAACATCTTTGGCTGCTTCCTTAGAGTCTTCAGGCTGTTCAACAAAATTTACAGCTTAAAGGTAAAAATAATGATCATTTAAAAGTATTGCATAATTTTCAAAAAGATAAAAAAAATATATGTTTTTTAATCAACTGTAATGACTACATACCTCTCTGGTTACAACAGCAATGAAGCAGCCACTTGTTTTTTCTGTAGGTCGAAATTTGATAAACTTCCCATGAATTCCTATTTTATTGTCTATGGCTTCACTAGAGAAAGGAATGACAGGGGGAACGACTCTGTACGGGTACTTTCTTTGCTGTACCAAATTAATATACTCCACAGCCTTTGATACAACATTTTCATTCTCAACATCATGAATGGAGCGGGTGGTGTACACTACAGCTTGTACTTTTGAAACTGAAAAATAAATTGTTTATATCAACAATATAACTCAGACCCTGATAACCATTTTCTAAAAAAGATGATTTTTCTTTTAATGCATCACAGAATGCTAAGAAATTATATACTTACATTTTAGGGCATGTTTTAGAAGCTCTGTATGTTTCGCTGTCAGATCTCCAAGTTTGCTTAGGCCTGTATCTCCAATAGATAAATCTTTCAAAATTTTCATATCTGCAAAACCCAGAAAAAAAACAAGTCATTACTGTCATCTTAAAAAAAAGCACAGTGTTACTGTCTGTATATTTCCCAATTATATTATAAAATCCATCTAATATGACAGTATACTAACCTTCACCCTCATTGACAATAAAGTCTATTGGATTGGCAATGCCTGATTTACTGCAGTCTGCAGTGATGAGAATGACTTTAGCATTCTTAAATCTGTTATCATCAGGTTCTATATCCAGGAAGTTCTCCGTCATTACTTTAACACCTATAAATTTTATCAATAAGGTATTATAGTGTCTAGTGTTCAGAACTCCCAATTATGGTAAATTTTACAAAAGTATTTACCAATTCTACAAATACTATAACACTATAGCCAAATAAAAAATGTACACATATTAATAAACAAAACAATTACAGGCATATATTTGATTTTGTCGAACACTGTGATCTTTGTCTCGACATTATACTGCTATGTTAAATTACTGAGCAATAATAAAATTTATATAGCAAACTTTTGAATTTATTTTTACAAAGTGTTGTATGGATACAAAATGAAATTTTGTACATACAGTACACTTTTATTTACTCCTTGTGAAATAAATTTTTGTTTGTTTTCATGTTGACATGGAATTGGTTCCATTATATTGGGTGGGAAAATAATTCTTGGCAAACAGATAATGCAAGGCAAATGAATAGATTCCTGTGTTGAATTTATTTAGATCTATCAGACTTATACAAATTACGGCAGAATTTTCAGTTGGTTTGTACTCTTGTTTACACTGACCAAATACACACCACAAAATATCCTTCTTTCCTAACTTTTTTTTACTTTTATTAATCTGTACAATAAGAGGAAGAAAAGTTGCCTGAAAACTTCAGAATTATATGTATCTCTATGCACTTTTTTCAGTATTAAGTCTTGTACTTAGGCATAGATCATATTCCAAACATTTGCTCAAATCGGTCATAAATTGCTAAAATATTTTCAAACAAAATTCATGATTAAGAACACCTATCTAATTTCTCTGCACTGTTTTCACAAAGAACTGGCACTGCATAAGCACAGATTGAGAAGCTTTTATAATGGTTAGAGAAGTTATTGCATGCCAATGAGCAAACAAAAATTGATGAAATTGATTTATAGCAGGGGAATAAACTTATTTTATACTGTGTTAACCAGAAAATTACACATCTTCAATTCTCAACAACTTGAAAGATAATTTATTAAAAATTCGAGTGTTTTGTCAACAGTGGTTTTAAGGAGATAATTTACAGGCTGAAGGTCAGCGATATAGTACTAAATACGGACATCTATCACGGTCAATTATATGAAGATGAACTATCAAAAATTGCTGAGGAGCAGGATGTCTTAAATAAGACCAAAAGCTGGGAACAAAGTGTGAACTGAGCCAGCTGACATTGCTGGTTAATGTCTTCTCCAATACCCCTATTGACATTAGTGAATGATATATGTAATTCTGATTCTCACTACCAATTAGGTAGGCAATTACATGATCAATCATGTGCATTTGTCTCTGCTGGCTAATAAACCTGACAATCAATTAGGACCAAAACAACTGATAAGGGTGCAGGGATGGAGCTCTTTGATTTTTCTCCTGTTTATCACGTATTCTACTGTGTTACCTGGACAGCAAGACCATGTGCACTAACATTAAATAGATTCACTATTTATAACTATCAAATGGGAGACTTTTTCTGGCTCCCATGATAAAAATCAAGTAATTAAGCAAGCCTGATACATTACTGATGAAGGGTCATTACAACCTTAAAGAGGTCAGGGTAGAAAAAGTTAATTAATTATTAATCTCATGTCTATCCTTCTATTGGAATATACTTCTTCCTGAGGGAGTATTGATCTTTTTTTAATTCAGCTTCAACAATTTTTTTGAATTTAATGATAAATAAACAATGAACTCAAAATCTGAATGTTTTGAATGCCAATAAAATCTATATTCTTTGAATTAATATTTTCATGGAGGAAGGTGTTAAATATTTGGATACAAAATAGATTCAGGTTTTAAATTTAATTCACATTTCCTTACTTATTTTTTTCCCTACAAAAAAAGCAATTGAAACCTTCTAAAATATATTTCACAAAAACAATCCTTTTGGGACCAGTGGTGTCCAGATTAGAAAGTTTTAATGTACTCATTTAACTGGGATTTTATCAAAAATATACGTATACCAGAGAATTCTTTATATATATATATTTTGTACAAAGACTTCTTTGTTAAAATAGAAATAAATATATATAAATGATCATGCTGACCTTTAACCCCAAGTTTTTCCATGTTGTCCCTGACTTCTGTGGGATTTTTAGCACCGAATGCCCAGATATGGCTATGGTTGTCTGCCTCTAACAGACTGGCAATGTGAGCAGTGGTCATTCCAGATCCAACATTGACATGAATGACGTCCGCATCCTCCCCAACCAAGTATTTCACAGAATGGGGGGCAATACTGCTAGACTTATCCTGAAAGACAACAGATTCATTGGGTAAACTGATATAGTTTGGTGCAATATAACAGAACAGAATTTGGTTAAATAGACATCATTTATATATCTGCCAACTAAAACTTCACTCAACTATACTATTTTGCCCTGCAAAAGAGCAGTGCTGCAATTATTGTTAGAGGTTTTTTGGACAATTATTCTTTGGTCCTTGCCTACCTGCAGGACTAACTTTCCTGTTGTAACAAGGTAATTCTGGACCAGGTCATTGGCACACTCTGAAGAGAACATCAATACATCATGACACAAAGAGTCCACGCAGAACATCTTCCCTTCCAAAGCATCATCAGAACTCACTAATCTGTAGTGATCCTCTTTTAAGGCATCTAGCACCTCAGACATACTGAAATACAAGAGAATCTCTTTAGTATATTTTTTTCTTAAAGAATATAAATTATACAGTATTATGAATTATTTCTTTTTTAAATCTTAACTAATTTGTAGGCACTGTAACATTATAATAATTTATGGACTGATTTTACGATTGTCTTTTGTGATATTTTGCTAACTAATTTTGCATGTGCAAGAAATTGAACAATTCTGTGAAGCATCTCCATGACATTTCTGTAGTCCACTGTAACAGCAAACAGGATAATCCATAAGAAGTTCAGATGTTGAAAAACTTAGTAAGACCTTTATGTGTTGAAGGTATTATAAGAAACTTGAGATTTCAATTTACATTGCAAATGAACACCCTAAGCCACTTTTCTCTGGTCAAATATTAGGAAGGCCTTTAAAGTAAAGATCTAATTATAAAAATATTGACATTTGAAGCTACTTTGTGAATATAGAAGTTTATACATACAGTGAAACAACAGTGGTGTTTTAAAGGGTCAGCAGAAAATCTATTCTTAAGTTTTTAATCAAAATATGATTTGAATTTTTTCTTAAAATCAATATCCAACATTCAAGACTCTGCAGGATTCAATGTTTTAATGGCTTGAGTTCTAACTGTCCCTGTAATTGATTCTTGGCATTTAGATGCCAGTAAAACTGAGAGCAAGAAGAGTTGAAGGTCATTGGCTTACTTTGACTTTCTGTGGTTGACCCAGCCATACACTGGCATTGTGCTTCTTAGCTCCTCTTTGCTCCTCACTGTGTCTGGGAGAAGATGGTCCAGAGAGGGGGCCTCGGCCTTAATTCTGTGTCGGGCCAGAGCAGCATTTAGGTGGGTCTTACATTCCAGAATGGACTGTTCTATCTCTAGGAGGTCAGGAAGGGTTGTTTCTCCAGGAAGGGGGGTTCTCTGTTGAAACTTTCGACCTTGAAAATCACACAGCATCACCATCACAAGGCCACTGTCCTCAACAAACTGTAAATAGTAACACCTTAATATAAACATTTAGTAAGCTAAGTTCATGCCTATGAATAATGAAGTTAGTTTTGTGGATGACAAGAGTGAAGAAAAATGTTATAGGTGTACTCTCACAATTCCTAACTTTACGATCAGAGATAATCTTCTTGTATAGCATTTTATTTGAAATGTTTGTTCCCTATCAAAATCAATGTAAATTTTTGTTTACATTGACATCTTGAGAAAGATTATGCAAACTTCCATATACGGTAATAAAATTGAAAATATGCATGATAAATGCTGTATTGATAATGGTTTGATGTGGGTAAATGTCCTGAAGTAAACGCCTCTATAACATGACAACGATAACAGAGTCCTCCTTGATTATTTCCACGACTGTTCATTGATCTCTCTTTTATATCAGTCAAATCATAATACCTCAAATATCTACAGAAGCGTTGCTATGAAAATCATGTTCAATATTGCATTTTTCACCAGGCATTTCAGATCCCTGACTTTGTAATTATATCATTTTTTCATCTCTCTCACTGGCTTTAGGGTCAATCATGAGATACCCGACTGGTGCAGCAAGCAAACACCATTTAGTAATGGTTTGCTCTTATCAACCAAGGTTTTGTATCGTATTATTAAAGTTAAAAATTGATTTTACTTTTCATGTGGTGTCACATTGATATTTTCAAGTTCTTTTGAAATCTGTTAATGATTGTAACATTCATTAACTATCTCACTGGGTATTGATTGATTTCTTTCGAATGACATTCACTGAATGTATCTAAAATTAAAAATAGAATTGATTACTTCCTAACAGTCACATGCAGTAGTTTGTTAATTTTTGGCCCCTTTTGCAGCACCAACTTTCCTTATCTTATATTGGAAAAACTATTTGTTATTACAAATGTTCAAACAAGTTTTCTATTAAAACACTTCCCTTAACTGCTGTTTTACAAGGTTCTCCATTTACAAACCACATTAAACTTTGTTAGCTTTTTAGCAGTGCCATTATTTCAGAATCCCCAGGCACTTAGACCTTTTTCTGAAAGCATTAGTTCGTCAATAATTTTTCTAATGCAATCACATTACCTTGCATAATTAGAGTGTGAATGAACAGATAAATCAGTTTGGATTTAACCTAGTATATGACTTAAATTAATTATGACTACATTGAATATAGTATGTACCAAAAATTACTCACAATAAACATCCAATACATTAGTCATGTTACATATTAATTATCTTTGCATCTCATAGGTGAAATGAATTTGTGTATTAAGGAAAAATGATGAAAAAAGCAGATTCTGCATATATAACCTGATTTTGGAAACCAACACAAAGGGGCTTAATTAATGAAAGTTAAATTACCACAACCAATGTTAAGAGTGAATTAAGAAATTGTGAAGAAGTGAATTAAGAAACTGGTGCTTTCTTTGTGAGACTATCCATTTTATGTATATCAACATGTCCCTTTATTAGAACTATATATAGGTCTAAAAAGGTGTAAATAAGAAACTCCAGATTTCAATAATTATTTCCCTTCACTCAATTTGTTTTTCTTTTAAAAAATATTCTCTCTCTCTCTCTCTCTCTCTATATATATATATATATATTCCAGTAGTGATTAAAGCTTCACATATTAATGATAGAAAACAGCAGAGTATATGTAACAAGTCGTACCTCTGGAAAGGTAGAGAAGAAAGCGCAGTCCTGGAGTATCTCTTCAAACAATAGCTGATCTGTAAAACATAAGGAATGTAATCTAACTAATAGACAAAATCCAAAATGAAAACTTCCTGATTCATATAATAAGCATGCATGTGCAAACTTTTACATGTTTCATAATAGGTTATTGGTTCCCCAAAAGTAAAACAGGTAATAAAAAATTACCCTAAATCATCTTTTAAAAAAAACAAAATTGGTCAAATATTTATAACCTGTGGCCAGGAGTGTTTGTTTTTTTTTTTCAACTTTCCCCTCCTTTTCAATTACAAAATTTCAGCTTGAAGTGAGCAATAGTGACAAGGCTTCCAGCAGGTTTATAATAAACCAACAGTGGGACCTTAGAACAATAAGAACTCAAAACACTGTTTCCCAAAACACAGAGCCCTTGACTCAATCTGCCCTGGTTGATAGTTGGGTTTGCAATATCTTTGGGCCACAGTGTTTAAATTGCAACTCTTGTGGGGTCTTTGGGTCCCAAATATAAATCTTTATTTCACTCCACACATTAAAATATATGAAATATATTTATAAACATAACATATAAAAATGTGAAGGCTTTCTGGATTTTCTATCATTATAAATGTCAAGAAGTTCTCACTAGGAAGTGATCCTGGACGCTAATATTTCTGGAGACACAACTTGTAGATTATACCTATCACTTTCAAAGAAGTTCATGGAGTATTGTGCAAACACTTCGATGGGAAAGCTATTTCAATTATCATTCATTGGGAGGATTATTCTATTGTAGTGGTATCAGCATGCTGACCAAACTGTAGGTCATCTTCCAGTGCACTGCAACCTTTCAGCTGGCCATTCGGTCACTGCTGTATAGGTGGGAATTTTATCACTGGTTGCTGGTGGTGAATTTGACAGTTGATCCCTTTTTTGTGGGAAACTTTATTACTGCCTTAAACTCAAAATTTGAGTTTGCCATCATGCTTAAGAGCCGTCATATTAAAATGTCTTGGAGTCGGAGGATTATACACATATTTGTTGCAAATCATGTTGCTTTGTCGAGATATGTGAGGACATAAGTCGTTTTTCTTTTGCTTAGCTAAACATAAATATAAGTATAAAAATATAATTATTCTACAGAATGAAAAAAGGATGAATGATAAGACCTTGTGAAATTTATAGTTATATTCCTTTCATGACATTTATTTTATTGCTATAAGTGTTTTTCTTTAACCAAAACAATTTGAAAGGAGGGGAAAGAAAAAGGTTTTTAATTTTACCTTAAGAAAGCTCTATATCTTAAATGTTTAATTCTTCCCTATCCTTTGATTTAGTCTGTGACTTATTTTTCTTGTGGACAAAGCAGAATACTGATTTTTTTTCCCCATCAAGATTGGAATATAATGTTCTGGCAATCTTGACCATTATACCCATTTGTTGAACTAGAGAGATAATTTCAAGCACTTGTTTTATTCTGTGTCATGTTATCAAAACCTTTGCTTCAAACTCTCATAAAAGTCCAAGTCAACTGGTGACACCGAAGTCTTTAATGATTTCAGATACCCAGCCCTCTTTGAGACTGTACCATCTTGTGGAATTTTGATGGATGTTGATCAGTTCTTTATACGTAAGGTCACATCTTAAAAATGTAAGAGGGATCAAAGTTTTCCTAGAGATCAATCACAGTGCCAAATATTTGGCTTCTGTAAAATTTAAATGTTTGATAAGTTGCAAATACAGGTCTAAACACAAGGGTGTGCAGGACCAACCGTTAATCTGGTGATTGACCGTAAAATGATAAGTCTGATCGTGCATTGGGGTAAAGCACTCGGTTTTTAATAAAACCCACACTGTAAATAAACAAGCCCCTTATTTCAATTAAGAGTAAACAACAATGTTCTATACAATTTTCTTGACAGTGTCCACTAGAACAGATGATGTTTTGTGTTGTCCAGTTTGGAATAACCAATGATGTCACCTGATAAGATTATAATGTTTCATCTATTACCATGACTACAAGGACATGTCATGTAAATATCAGAATCGCATTGTCCTCTGAAGCATTTCCAAACAGTCTCTCAAGTATTTTGTCATCAATTTTAACTCTCTCTTAAAGGAAATGGTTATACTGATGTACATGTAGTTATACATTAATTCTGATAAAATATACATTAGATTCTTGATTTATTTCATGTGGTAGTCATATCAGCAATTATATCAGAAAAAATATTGTTTCAGTATGATTAATTCATAATTTTGATATATGATACACAGTAAGTACGTCCTATAATTTAAAGTCAATATTTTTAAGTACCGGTAGTTCAATACTAGATCAAAAGATAAAATCAAAACTAATGGTATGTGGGGCTTTTTTTGCGCACAATTCTACCAGAGACCAGAATTAATCCCTCTGATAGTGTGAGGAAAAACCGACTTGGATGAAAATCAATGTGGAAGGCATGAAATTTCTGTGAAAAAACATGTCTAATGAAGGAGTCAGAAAGTGTAGAACATTACTCGCAGTAAATAGTACAGGGCTCACAAAGGACTATCACAATGTCTTTGGTTCCATTTGTAATCAACAAACAATGACTTTCTCAAGATCTATAGAGAACTTCATTTTTTATACATGTTTGATAGGTCCAAAGGATGATCAAAAGAAAGCTTTATTGTAATGGGTTGAGCATTACTCGATGCTTCACGGCTCTTATAGTTCTAAGGTGTGCACCTCAGTCAATATGTCAAACTCATCAATGTTTTCATGAATTCTTAAAGTGACCTCAGCTCTAACATTCTGTGAAATTAGCTAGGTTAAGCCTAGCTGAACTTAAAGGAGACTGAAAAGTCTTGAGGGATATTACAAAATAATGAACCCTTGTAAAAATCACCATTGATATACATGTATGGATATCAAAGGTTTAACTCAATTCCCTACTCCCTAAATAGGTTAACTTTTCAATGGCTCTAGCTTTCCAATTTTCTGATTCATTAACTGTTTGTAGTATATTTAACTTGTATACAGGTTTATAAACATTCAATGTCATTAAGTAATCCATTCATCCCAACAATTCATTCTTTTGAAACTTCCATGCAGGAGAAAACGTTCAAATCATTATACTTGAATAGTAAAGAAAACATTGAAATGATTAAATAAGAACTGGTTAAAGAAACTTCATATTTTTATCAAAACTTTCCGATTTTAAGAATAAAAAAATTTTCAGTTTAAGAAGACTCTTTTTAAACCAGTCATTGAAATTATCACACTGTAAATTTAAAATGAGTTTTATTTTGTGCCATTTTCATTCTAAATGTTACAATCAGTTCAATAAAAGTTTCCCCCCTGGTCCACTTTCTGGTCAGATTTAGCTTCTTACTGAATCATATTAAAAAGCTCCACATTTATTTGAGTGGGGCATAAACTTAATAAAGGGGGATTTGGTGTATCCTAATACGGCATTTGTTATCAGTCCCCTGAGCCTTTAATTGCAATATAAGTTAAACTGTGTATTTTATTCATAATCTGTGCTATGTACACTCAAATAATACTCTCTCTCTCACTGGGAGCAGTTGTATACCATTGCTGCCTGAAGGATTTAATTTAAGATTAATTCCTGTACTTATTAAATATTACTTATTAATGAATCATGGGATGAGTAACTAATTAAACAAATTCAAATGAACTCCATAAACTCTACTCAACATTGCTGATTAATTAAATTACAGGACAGGGGCAGTTGCCATGGAAAAGGAATAAACATATCCAGGTTTTTAATGTTCAAGGCATCAGAAATATAAAATAGCTGAAAAAGTGCTGGTGTTTTTAGTTTTCAAATTAAATCATATAATGCCACAAATTATTCCAATTCATAAGGTTGGGAAAAAACAGAAGAATAAAAACAATTCTTTTACTCAATAAAGAACCAAAGAGTAACAATGCTTAAAACACTTTTTTTTCTTAACAATGGATAATAACTCATATGATAAAGGACATATTTGTAATTTAAATAAGCCATATTAAAAGAATTTGACTTACATTTGAGGGTGGAAAATGCCAGTTCAAAGGCCAGTCTTTTATCCTGGTCATTAGAGAAGTAAACTTGGGGTATATCTCTCTCTGATAGAGCAGCCTTATTCCTCTTTTTGAGGTATGGATTCTCTCTTTCCTCCAGACTCTCATGTCTCAGAGCTGAGAAAATTTTGCTGGCATTATTGTATGTCTGGTGGCTGTAAAGACAGGGTTCTTTGTAGAAGAACTGGAATCTCACATCTGAATCAGAACCATTAACAAGTTCTCCCTCTGAGTCTTCAGTCATCTTCATACGCATTTTTACTGTATCTCTCATCACACACCGGCTGTAACGAGAGCTTGAGGGACGGTCTGAAGGGGGGGCATGGGGCAGAAACTGTGAGGTTATCCTATTCTGCCCTGACACAGGTTTTCTTTGCAGTAGCACAGATTCAGCAGTAGGCGGCATTATGGTTAATATTAAACAGCACTAGGAAAATGTAACATCAAGTAATTGATCAAGGAGCACAATTTATCCAATCGTTTACCTGGCCAGGTATATATGGCAGGTAACAGGTGTCAATCAAACACTTTCAAAGGAGATTTAATACCTATAGGCGGAAAGACCAATTGTTATCAAATTTATATTTAGCAGTTCTAGAAACGGAATTCTGTTTTGACGTTTAATCTTTGTTGACCTGAAAGTAAAATAAATACGATTATGTAAAGTTCTTAATCAGACTGTAGAGGGTATTGGTAAATATTGAGTATCCACCATGCTCTAAGTACACTCTGGATGAAACAAAGCTGGTATTGTTATCATGATGACTTCATTTAGAATTTCCAACAAGGGATAAACACATCAGATATGATATTGTCCGTGATCAGGAACCCCCCATTGTCCAGTCACTGATATTCTTTATATGAAAAACCAGTGACTCTTTAAGAGTGTTTAAAATGACGCATCTCGCTGAACATGAAAAACAGGGTTGAACGAATAAAACTAACAGACATCATACATATAAGTATTTAAGTTCTTTGTATAAATTGGTGCTCTATTTAAAGGTATAAGAACCCTTTCATAAACGTTTGTAAAAGGATGTTCAGAAAACATTCAATTAGATGAATAAGTAAGCAGTTCACGGAACTCAAATTTAATATATGACGCATTTTATAGAAGGGTACTTAACTATAATTGCAAACAGATCATAAAACTCAAAAATCGAAAGTTTTAAAGAACTAAAAGAATTTATGACAACAATAAAAGAACGTTTTCAATCCAAAAAAGGAAAATTATAATGATTGAAATGAATAAAGTTAAATAAAGATAGTTCTTGCGTAAATATCATTATTCAGATAGTTATCAAAATGCAGAGCAATTTCCTATTTATATCTTTCAGTAAAAACCTTTTTTTCATTTCTTTTTTCTTCGTATGATGAGGCAAATAAAAATAAAATTGAGTTTTTCAAAACATGTCATTATTATAAATCAACAAATGGATTCTATTTTCTAGTCTGTCATCCTATATGATGAAATATGATTTATAACTGAATACAGTATTTTAAACAATTCTACTTCAAATTAAAATTACATTACATGTAAATTGATTTTATTTTAGAGATCAAATTCAGACTTGTAGGCATCCATTTACATTTTTTGAAAGGTGTATGCTGAAACCCTCTTTAGCATTGAAATACATGTACATACTGTAAACCAACCATCATTCACAACAACTTTTAAAACATTTATTTAATATGATTTGTCAGTTTGGAATCGATCCACTAAAACTAAATTTTGTTACTAAGGAGATATAAACAATTAAATAAATATTTGCACCAATAAATATTTGTAAGAAAAGCAAGGTCCCAAATCTTGTGGATATACATTTCTTGCACCAATTAAAAACTGGTTACGGTATACAAACCAAATCACATTTGTCCATTGAGCCACAACATTCAGATAAGTAACACAATGTAATACCGATATTTTAACAAGAGAAACAGTTCCTATAAAATAAAAAATAAAATGTAAAAGCTAAGATAAATCAGATTAGTTAAAAAATAATTAGTTTGCTCTGTTTTGAGTTGTTTTGGGGTTTAGCTTGTAATAATTTTACATGTAGCTCTGAGGGAAATTTCAAGATGAACATTCTTAGGCTTTGACAGGCAAAAGGATGTATTCCCGATTTTCAAAAGAATTGACTTATAGGAGAGAACAATTTCCAGAAAAAGGTCACATTTCAAAATTATAGTTCATTAGTTATTTTCTACCATAAATAATTTCTCTTTGAATCTAAAATTTATTACTTGCAATTTTAGAATTAACCCTCAAAGTTGGGTAAACAACATTCTCCCCATTTAAAGCACCAATTTTTGCATGATTTTTGGCCTAGAAGTCCTTCAGGGCAGGTCTGTCCCTGAATGAAATTATAATATGTTGATCGATGAGAACTAAGGAATTATCTAAAATAGGTCACCCCTGCCCTGGGGTCGAAAATCACCAAAAAAAAAACTAAAACATAGGTAATCAAAGATTACTAAGCTCACCTCGACGAATGTTATCTATAAGTAAGGCAAATCTCACATCATATTTTTTTCCTAGTTAGTGTACATCCCAAGATTAATATATCCATCAATATTAGATTCAGAATCCAAAGCAAGTCTGGAAGTGTCCATCTCTAGATACATCATCATCCATGCTAATTTGGTTAAAATATGGCTAAAATTCACTCATGGAAAATCTAGGTCAGATCCAGAATCCGAAGCAGGTTAGTTAGTGTACATCCCTAGATGCATCATCCATGCACGTTTGGTCGAGGTAGGGCTTACAGTTCCTTGGGAATGGACCTGCTCCAAAAAAACTTTAACCTGGTCACTCATCTGGAAAATCTAGGTCAGATCCAGCATCTGAAGCAAATATGGTAGTGTCCATCCCTAGATGCATCATCCATGCAAGTTTGGTCAAGGTAGGGCTTATAGTTACTTGGGAATGGACCTGCTCCAAAAACTTTAACCTGGTCACTCATCTGGAAAATCTAGGTTAGATCCAGCATCCGAAGCAAGTGTGGTAGTGTCCATCCCTAGATGCATCATCCATGCAAGTTTGGTCCAGGTAGGGATTATAGTTACTTGGGAATGGGACCTGCTCCTAAAACTTTAACTGGGACGCCGATGCTAACGCCGACGCCGGGGGTATAGCATAAGTTCATCTCCACTTCGTCGAGGTGAGCTAAAAAATAAGGAAACTGTTTTTGACAACCTGGTTCATTTATACTGACTTATATAGACAGAATAGCTCAAAAACTTGGACTGCTGGCTCTTGAAGCCAAATTTTTTTTAGGGTCTGGTTCAAATTCACCTGGCACAATACTTTTACAGATTTTAAATACTCACTTTATCAAACACTACTTTAATTGTATTCAACAGGGGTTTGTGTGTCTTACTTCAATTATCTGTCTTTAATGCATGTTCATTTTTTATATAAAAGACATTAAAGAAAAAGCAAATCGTAAATTTTATATATAAACAAAACGCAGTCAGTGGAACAGCAACTATACCTAAGTCAGTGTAGAACATTTTCTTCAAGGACAAGAATTGTTTACTCTTTGTAACAGTGTTACTCAAAACAGGCATTCTCATCTGCAATGAGCTTCAATGGATTACTGTTGTATATACTTTTTAATTAATTTGATACCTTGGAATTTTATCAGTTCAGTGTATTTGGTTTTATTCCATCTATATTACTAGTACAAGTTTGTCTATTTAGGTTGAACAAATATATAGTGCTTGCATTAATATTTAAATTTTATTAAATATAGTATTTCCAACTTTTGAAGTCAATGGTCTAAATTCAGATCACAAGCCTTTAAACAATGGGGCTACATATCAGAGACTGTACTCCTTGGATTTCACTTACCGTAAGTTTTGGGGTATATGTCGATGGGTTATATAGGTCGAAAGGCTCATTTTCAGCCGTAATTTTTAAAAAATCCTTAGATAGGACGATTTGGAAGATAGGACGAGGCTTTGTTTATCGACTTTTTAGAGATTCTTACATAGAAACTACGTATCAGAACATGTAAAGGTTTTTAACTTAACCCGTGATATTAACGTATGAAGAAAATAAACTGGTATTTTTATGAGTACAGCATTTTAATAGTGTTTTATACAAACATAGTTAAATCTTCCTAGAATTGTGATATAACGTATTTTCTCCAACTTGCCTGTTCAACGCCATCGTTGTTTGACTCTGTCGTTAAACACATAAATACGGTAGTATACAACAGCTATAATTAGGGAAATACCCGAAATCAAACAATAATCATTTCCATTTTAGAACATCGTGGACACATTCTTTTATTCCGACATTATTTACCGGGGTACAATATTAAGTGCGATGACCGCCATTTTTATATTTCTTGTCCAGGGATTTGCTAAAACACGCAAATGACTATTACATGTAACAGTGCGCAAATGAAATTAATCATATTAACATGCTATAATTTTGCTTGAGATATTGTTGTAAAAATAAATTTAATTGAGAGTACATTAGCAATTTAACAGTCATCAGGAATTTCACAGTTTTGTTTGTTCAATGATGTATAGCACTAATACCCCTGCAACGGCACGTGGATCCGTTAATCACGCCCCGCAGGTGTTTAAACCAACAGGTGTTAACACCTTCGTGTACACAGTGTATATCCCTCTATCTGTCAGACAATTAAAATTCTATTAGAAGCCAATCTTTGTATAATTCGGTGTACCCTTTGGGATATAAAACAGAATAGTTATGACTAGCGGTATATTTGGTAAATAATTTTAGGAATTTACTGGCAACTTTATTTCACACATTTTACATTTAAATAAATATCACAAGACAATGAAAAATATTTAGGTGTAGTATTTAAATTAATCGTTACAAATAAATGGTAAAAAAAAATACAATTGCGATTGTGAAAACTCCTCCGTATTTTAAACTGATACGGTTGCGGTTTTATTTTTAGTAAACGATTGCGACTTCCAACTTCACAAGATGGACACAGCATGTTGTAAATATACTTTGAGACATTATTGATGATATAATAAGTTTTTTTGTACATCGACGGATATTTAATGAACTTTTTTTGTAAGAAATCAATGGAATAAATATTTAATTCTTTATTGTTTATTATTTTTTTCTCGGTAAAGTAATTTTAAAAAATACGAAAATGGCACAGATTTGCTTTAAAATTGACGTGAATTTTACTGATTTTGGGGCATTTTTCGTAAACTTGGGCCTTAGATAGGTCGATTCGTTAAATAGGACGACCCCAGCGGTTCTGAGAAAAAAAGTATCGTCCTATCTTCCAAAACTTACGGTATATTATTTGTATACATCAATGACATGTTTTTATTATTTCTGTGTAAAATACATGCACACCAAAAAGAGAATTATTAAAATAGATATCACCATTATGATGAAAAGTAAAAGAAAAAAAAAATCAAAAAAGCTTTTCAAGAAAACAAACTCAAAATGTGTCAACAATAAAAATTAAGCTACATCTAGGTAAGGTATATAAAAATCTTCCTCCTATCTCTACATACTACATGCATTGACTAGAACTAAAATGATCTAACTATGAGAAACAAATAACTACATGTATTTAACCTAAAGTCATTGATTGGAATGGAAATCGATAAGATTTTTGTAAAGACTAAAACCAATCCTGGCCCTATAGGTCTGTGCTCCATCTAAAATAATGTGATCCTTTCAGCAAAAAATGAAGTTCTTGCTGCAATAAAGTTCTATATTAATTTCTTGTCCTCAAACTCAATTTTTGACATTTTTTATCAAGTTTATTCCATTTTTATTTCACAATTTTATAATAAAAAAAAGGAACTGAAAAAATTTTGGTATGCAATAGAGTGTTTGTCCTTGTTAAAACTAAAGGGGATGTAGAATAAATTGTGCTGTATTGACTCAGAATTATATGCTTCTACATCTTAAAGGCAGAAGTATTGTGCATTGATAAAAAATGATTTTCTTCCTAATGTCATTTAACAAACACAGGGAGAAATCTTAGTACAGTACAACTCAGTTATAATGAAGTCTATAGGGGCCCTGTGAATTAACTTCACAATATCCATATTTTATTATATCTATATACTGAATTTGTTAAAGTATATATAGCAAATTTGCAATTTACCTGTTTTCCTTCAAGTATTACTACCAAATACGTTCAGAGAAGTATTTAATTCAAATCTTATTTTGGAGAACTTATATTAAATTTCAAATAACTAAAGAATAATAATGCCAGTTCATTATTTCAAATATCTAGATCTTAGAAAATTTGCTACAAAAGATATAAATTTCATTATTTTCAACCTCTGCTGGACACAAAATCAATTTACAATATGTGTTAATTCATAATACCAGAGTTCCTTATAACCGTGGAATTTCAAAAGGAATTGTTAAGCATTTTGCCCGGGATCCAAAAATAGTGAAATACTTTGCTGTATCTATATATTTATTATAATATCCATGTTCGTATTAAACTCAAGCAATGCCTAAAGACAAAGAGAATGCAAAAAAGATGCTGGCAGAATCTAAAAGGAGTAAGAGGGGAGTTATTACTTGTAACAACCTGTCCTGAAGCCTACTGCTGCAGAATGCTTATTTCCCAAGGATTACCAATTACTGGGGGTATTTTACAGTTTTACATAAAGTAAATTAAACATTATTTAGATACTATGCAACTTCATCATTTTCTGAAATTGTATATGCATATACCTACCTACATATACTTGAAATTTGTAGAAGTTGGCTTTGAAATAGGAGAATCTTGTTTACCTACAGATATATAAACAGTAGATATTGCAGAATGGATAGTAAAAGGTTTAAACCTATTAAATATCTATAAATGTCTTTTACGTAAATTTGACATCATTAATGAAATTCAGTATAAAGCATTGAATTGTAATGTTGATCCTACTTTAATTTAATAACACATAATCATAAACATTTAATGTACCATGAAAATAAATAGCTAGCAATACCTCTGATCAAGTATTATTTCATACAAATTACTAAATACCATCCATTTTTCTTACCAATTACCCTAAAGTCTTTGAGTTATATGAACTATTAGTAAATGTCACCAGAAGTAAAACAGATAAATCTTATTTCACATGCCATTAACTAACTGGAGTAACAAACAGGGTGACCCTTGTGTGTTTATAGAAGCTGATAACTTTTCATTGAAATTTAGCAGTCAAGATAACAAGTGTTTATGGTATTTATGTGCAACCAAACATACATTAATTATTTTAAAAAACTTTAGAGTATTTATATCTTAATTACAAAACAAAAACAAAAACGTTGTGTTGAACAGAATATAGGATATAGGCCTTAACATTATTATTATTATTCAACCACTTGCTGAATGCAGAGTGGGAGCAAAATATTCTATAAGTTTAGAAATATGCTTTAATTCTATGCATCTGTCATAGACTGTTTCAGAAATCTACTTTGTGAAAGAATACACCTTAAATTCTGTAAATATATTCTTGGTGTTCATAAGAAAAGTACAAATTTTGCAGTATTGTCTGAATTGGGAAGGTTCCCCCTGCATTATGATATTGTCAAATTGTTAATCAAAAGTTGGTATAGATTTGAAAATTTTTCCACAGAATTTCCTTTACTTATAGATGCATATGAATGTAGTAAAAATCTTTTTGTACATGGAAAGAGCTCATGGTTCGCATTTATACAGAAATTAAGAAATATACTGAATATCAAAGATGAAGTAATTTGTTATGGGAAGCATAAATTTAAGTCACTCTGTCATAAAACCATATTAGATTATTATGTAAAAAATTGGTATACAAGTCAACAAAGTTATACCGATGGTAAATTAAGCACATATGTAAAACTCAAACAAAATTGGGGTTATGAGAATTATTTATCAGTAGGCCTAGTTAAAAATTTTCATCACAGAAAATCTCTATGTAAATTAAGAATTTCTTGTCACAGATTGCAAATTGAAGTGGGAAGATTTACCAACATCCCTCGAGAAGATCGATTATGCAATAGATGTAACTCTAACAGTGTAGATGATGAAACTCATTTTCTGATAACATGTAAAAAATATGATCATCAAAGAAAAGAAATTTTTCAATCAATTAAAAGTAAATTTCCAAATTTCTCGGCATTAGATGATGAACAAAAACTTTTTTGGTTACTCAATACTGAAGACAAAGAAACTCTTAATTCTGTGGGCAAATTCATAAATGATAACATGTTGTAGTAGCCATACACTATTATATATAGTATTCCCTTTAACTGAAATAGTACAATATTATTGTTGAAATGAGCAATGTCATTTACAAATTGTTATACTATCCATTGGCATATCTTTTCTTTATTATTGTAATAATTTCATACTTGTCTGTTATGGGCTCTAAATTAGAAAATAAATGTTCTGTTCTGTTCTATATATAAACCTATTAAGATTTTTTTCTTATTTCACCCAAACTCTGTATTCGTGTAGTTTTAGAATACTCAGTACCTCAATACCTATTACATTGAGTCCACAAGAAACTGAAACTGTTCTATTTCTTAAAAATTACAGTTTAAATATTTTGCTAATGAATCACAACTTAAATAATCAAAAATTGAATTTAAATATATACCAATGCTGTACATGTACGTAACCAGAGACATCTATTATATGTCTCTGACGTAACCAATATTAACGAGGAAATTCGGATTATGTACATAACGGATTATGGTTCATTTTGTATCTGAAAAAAAAAAAAATCAATTAAATAATCAAATACAGTCAAATGGAAAAAATGATACGTATGACTAGCCTCAATAAGCAAGTCACCAAAAGCAAAATGTCCATATATTCCAAACAACTTCTTGGATAAATAGCCGATTCACTTCAAAGCAGGACCGCCATGCAAAATCTGATTGTGATGTAACGACAACGTCACAGTCGAAATCTCGCTCCAACAGAAGTATACTCTCAGAGGACGTCGGGTAATATTTCCGGACAGTTTTTTTTTTATTTTATTTTATTTATCTTTTTTTATTTTTTATTTTTTTGGTACTGTTGGATGTAGAGTTGAAGGAAGTAGATTATATCATAGGTTTGGACCTCATCGTTTGTCCCAAATCCAAGATGGCAGCATGCACTAACCTTGATATGGCCATGGAGGGTCCAAAAAAATTTCAATGTTGTGTAATCGTTAAAAATATTCAACCTATATATAGATGTGTAATTTTTTTTTGTGATACACTGATGTTCCTTTATGGCAGATCAAGGCTAAAGTTAATTTTTAAATGTAGGTCAAACTCCAAGGTCAAGAGGTTGAAAATCTTGGTACACAAAGAAAGGTCTTGTCACAAGAATACACATGTGAAATATTATAGCCCTAACATCAACCAATCAGAAAATATGTTCAAATGTACCAGGTAGGTCATACTCAAAGGTCTTGTCACAAGGAATTCTCATGTGATATATGAAAGTTTCAAGAAAAGAAGTTGTCTTGGAGCAAATAGATACGGAAGCGTATTAGTGCCACGAATTTTTTTTTTTTTTTTAAGTTGGTAATTCCAACTTTAAAGTTGGCTTTTCCAACTTTAAAGTTGGCAATTCCAACTTTAATCTTGGCTTTTCCAACTTTAAAGTTGGCAATTCCAACATTAAAGTTGGCTTTTCCAACTTCAAAGTTGGCTTTTCCAACTTCAAAGTTGGTAATTCCAACTTTAAAGTTGGTAATTCCAACTTCAAAGTTGGCACTAATACGCTTCCGTATGTAGATAAATTCTTATATAGTTTTATTCTAAAGGCAATAAGGTTAATCTGAAGAATGATATATATGATTTCTTTATTTATTATTGCTATTTTATTGAAGGGTTTTATTTGTTTCTTGTTTTATTCGAGGTGGTGTATTTAAAGAAATTCGTAGGATTCATTGAATAATGTTATTGCTTTTCTCACCATATGCTGATTTAAAGTGGGCTAACTTAAAAATCGGTTGAGGCTATCTGGTACCATTTGCAAGAAAGTCCAACAGGGAAAAAAATTCAAAAGTTTATGTGTTGTGGACTATTGTGCTCCGTTTTTGATTATTCCAATATGACCTTTTGTTTAAATAAAGTCACTTGCATTTTTTAGACCCATGTGGTATTAGTTTACAATCTTTATCAAACTGCATGAAGTTTGTCAGCTAGAAGATGAAGTTATGGTAAAGGTTGGTTACAATTTTGTAAACAGTTGAATCATGTAATATTTATCTGTCACTGGAGCGGACTATAAAGTGGGACTGCAGGCGAGAGCGAAAGTTGGTGCCGTTTTCATCATTTATTAAAACCCCACCCCAACCCCCTCCAACCCCCCCCCCCCCCGCCGGAAAAGTGGGGTGGGGTGTATGTATTTTGAAGGGGGTGTCCGTCCGTCCTTCCTTCCTACACTTGGGGTAGCCATCCTTTATCCACAACTCCTCCTATATCACCGAATAAAATTTAGTGAGACTTTCAAAGAATCTTTATTACATATAGTGTCATTGTACACCTCCTATTTTACGATCGGACAGATGTTTGGGTTTTCCATAGCAACACATGGACATTTCATTTCTTTTTATAATATTTGGGATACCCATCTCTTATCGCAACTCCTCGTTTACCACTGTATAAAATTTATGAGATTTTCACATTTTTTTTTTTTTACATAGCACCATTATGCACCTCCTATTTTATTTCCGATCGGACAGACATAGCAAAACATAGACACTGTCATTCTTTCTATAATATTGGGGGTACCGACTACCCATCTCTTATCCACAACTCCTCCTATACAGTGTACACTGAATAAAATCTAATGACACTATGGGTTTACCATAGCAAAAGATAGACACTACTATTCTTTCTCCAATATGGGGGGGGGGTCCCATCTCTTATTTATTCGTGTACCTGGATATAACTTCTCAACCAATAAGAGATAATCATGTAGAAAGTGGAAAAATCTCAAAATGACCCCGCGTCATTCTTGAGTAGCAGCTCTAAATTTTATACTACACCAGCTTAAACTTCTCACATTTTCATCTTCTTTTCCAGACCAAGTGAGCTACTTTCTATGGTGGCATATTTCTGCCCCCTACATGCAAGATAAATTATGTTAACATGCAAGAAAAGTATTTCAACATGCAAGAGAATTATGTCAACATGCAAAATAATTATGTTGACATGCAAAGTACCAATCTTTTTTGAGAATCTAATTTTAATGTTGGTAAAATTACTTACCAACGCCAGTATGCGACATCATACAAGCAAGCTGCAACAGAGTTATGTTGACATGTGACTTATTTATGTTAACATGCAAGATAATTATGTTAACATGCAAGATATTTATGTCAACATGCGACTTATTTATGTTAACAAGCAACATAATTATGTAGAGATGCAACTTATTTATTTCAACATGAAAGATAATTATGTTAACATGCAACTTATTTATGTCAACATGCGACTTATTTATGTCAACATGTGAGTTATATTTAACATGCAAGGTATTTATGTCAACATGCAAGATAATAAGTTGCATGTTTACATAATTTCTCGCATGTTGACATAATCAATTCGCATGTTAACATAATTATCTTGCATGTTGACATAAATAAATTGCATGTCTACATAATTATCTTGCATGTTGACATAAATAAGTTGCATGTCTACACAATTATCTTGCATGTTGACATAAATAAGTTGCATGTCTACATAATTATCTTGCATGTTAACATAAATAAGTCGCATGTCAACATAATCCTGTTGTT